CATAACAAAGTACACCTTACCTGGAAAAGGTTTCGGGGGTCAACGCCCCCCGCGACCCGGTCTGTGACCAGGCCTCATGGTGGATCAGGGCCTGAACAACCAGGCTGTTGCTGTTGGCAGAGGTATTTTTTTTACACCAGTGACTTTACAGACTAAATGATGCTTATCCTATCTCGGCTCTGATATACCTTCCACCTCCCCCCCCCCCCGTGCGCTGTATAATCCTACTGGTTTAGCGCTCCCCATGATTATAATAATTGGCTCTAATATACAAGCTTAGCCTCGTCTAAGCCTTAAATGAGGCTGTCGTATACTTTAGATTCTAAGCCCTAAGTTGTACTACTACCTCACCCCCTAGTTCTCCGTATCCAACTTTGGCTACGCCGTATCTCTACCAAGCATAGATAGTTTTTTGTTGGGTCCCTGGTCATGTTGACGTACAGGGCAATGAACAGGCAGACACTGCTACGCGGCCAGCAGTACATGACCTACCAATTTCCTATAGAGGTGTTCCATTTCTGGACTATTTTGCTACAATAGCTACCCACCTTCACACCCGTTGGCAACAACGTTGGTCAACTCTGCTTGGTAACAACGCTGTATAGCCCTTGTGGCTTAGCGCTTCTTTTTGATTATAATAATAATAATGCTTGGTAACAAACTTCATTCTATTAAACCGAGCATAGGTTACTGGCCGTCTTTTTGTCATCAGTGCCGAGGTTGGGAGACCACTCTCTCCCGCCTTCGTATTGGCCACACTCCTCTTACTCATGGGTATCTCATGGAGAGGCACCCTGTTCCTCTCTGTGAGCAGTGTCAAGTTCCAGTATCGATTAGCCACATTCTGTTAGACTGCCCTCTCTATCAACGAGCACGCAGAATTTACCTACAACGTCGTCTTCGTTCTATTACTCTCTCTTTACCTTCCCTTCTTGCTGATGGACCCTCCTTTAATCCTGACTCTCTCATTGACTTCTTGACAACGACTGATTTACTCCACAAACTCTGATGATAGCTTTCGCACTCCCCTCAGCCCTTCCTAGCTCAGTCTCTTGCTGCCCTTTACCCTTTCACTGCCCCGCTGTTATCCGTAACCTATTACTCATCCATCTCCCTTTTGCCACCTCATATCAGCCCTCGCTTCCTTCCTGCCCTGCAGCGCTGTACAGCCCTTGTGGCTTAGCGCTTCTTTTTGATTAAAATAATAATGTACTACTACCACAGCCCAGGATGCCACCCACAATAGTAGGTTATAGGACAGTAGTGGCCAGCAGGTTAGGTTAGGTAAGGTTTGTCAGGAAACAAGACAAGCGTTTCATGATGCGGGTCTTGGTCATATGATGACCCGTAGCTGGAGCTTTTGGTCATCTGACCGATTCCTTCCACCAGTTCGGATTTTTAACCCTGGAGGGTTATCCACCCAGGAAAGTCAGTGCGTCATCGAGGACTGTCCAACTTATTTCCATTGGGGTCCATTGTATAGCCCTTGTGGCTTAGCGCTTCTTTTTTATTTTAATCCATTGTGGTCCTCAATCTTGTCCCCCCCAGGATGCGACCCACACCATTCGACTAACACCCAGGTACCTATTTGCTGCTAGGTGAACAGGACAACAGGTGTAAGGAAACGTCGAAACTTTTCCACCCACCGGGAATCGAACCCGGGCCCTCCGTGTGTGAAGCGGGAGCTTTAGCCACCGGGCCTCTCCATGAACATGAACCCGGGACCTTAGGAGCCCAATGTCATCACTATACTTGAATCCTGTTTTCCACTCTCCTTGGATGATGCAGCAAGGTTAGAACCAGTCGCAATGTTTCATCTTACAGTATACAATATTGTGCAGAAAAATGAATGGAGACGTTAGAAATTACGATTGTAATCAGATATAAACCTGTACATAGTTCATTACCGCTGTAACTAGTTCAGTTATCAAAGCTTTGGGGCCCAGCCCCTGGACCCATTATTTACTCGACTATGTGGTTGCAGGGGCAAAGTCACAGCTCCTGGCGCCGCCTCTTCGCTAGTCACTATTAGGTCACTCTTCCTGCTCCAAGAGCCTTGTTCATTCATCGTGGTCCGGTGGCCTGGTGGCTAAAGCTCCCGCTTCACACACGGAGGGCCCGGGTTCGATTCCCGGCGGGTGGAAACATTTCGACACGTTTCCTTACACCCGTTGTCCTGTTCACCTAGCAGCAAATAGGTACCTGGGTGTTAGTCGACTGGTGTGGGTCGCATCCTGGGGGACAAGATTAAGGACCCCAATGGAAATAAGTTACAGTCCTCGATGACGCACTGACTTTCTTGGGTTATCCTGGGTGGCTAACCCTCCGGGGTTAAAAATCCGAACGATATCTTATCTTATCTTCTTAAAGCTGTGTATGGATCCTGCCTCCACTATACCACTCTCCTGATTGTTCCACTTCCTAACAACTCTGTAACCAAAGAAATACTTTTTAACATCCCTGTGACTTATCCGAGTTTTCAACTTCCAGTTGTAACCTCTTGTTGCTGTGTCCCATCTTTCAAACAGTTACTATCCACCTTGTCAATTCCCTCCCCTATGTCTCTTGTCCTCCAGTGTCGTCAGGTTGATTTCCCTTAGTATCTCCTCGTAGGACATACTTCGTAGCTCTGGGACTAGTCTTGTTGCAAACCTTTGCACTCCCTCTAACTTCTTAACGTGCTTGACTAGGTGTGGGTTCCATACTGGTGCTGCACACTCCAGTATGGTTCTAACGTACACAGTGTATATAGTGTCTTGAATAACTCCTTACGCAGGTGTCGAAATGTTATTCTTAGGTTTGCTAGGCGCCCATATTCTGCAGCAGTTATTTGGTTGATGTGCTTCATTGGTGATGTGCTCGGTATTGTACTCACCCCAACATCCTTTTCCTTTACGAGGTTTGCAATCTTTAGCTCCTCAGCATGTACTCAGTCTAGGGTCTTCTTTGACCTTCCTCCAATCTTCATGACTTTGCACATGGTGGGGTTATACTTCAGGAGCCAATTGTTGCACCAGGGTTGCAGCCTGTCCAGTTCCCTTTATAGTCCCACCTGCTCCTCGTTCACTTGAATTCTCCTCATTAGCTTTACATCGTCTGCAAACAAGGACACGTCTTAATTTATCCCTTCCGTCATGTCATTCAAATATACCAGAGACAGAACCGGCCCTAGGTGGTTCCCCGCTCGTTACAGGCGCCCACTCTGACACCTCGTCACATACCATCAATTGTTGGTTTCCTTCCTGTCAGGTATTCCCTGATCCATTATAGTGCCTTTCATGTTATTCCTGTCTACTCCTGCCTGCTTTTCTAGCTAAGGTGCATCATAAATCATACCACGGGTGGGGAAAGAACCCGCTGTCAGTCAAAAAACGCCAGACCGACGCGTTAGCCACTGTCCCAGTGGCTGCTGTATAGCCCTTGTGGCTTAGCGCTTCTTTTTTTATTATTATAATAATGTCCCAGTGGCTAATCGTCGGTCTGAAGTTTCATGACTGACCGCGGGTTCTGTCCCCACCTGTGATTTGGTTTGTTTGCAATCGTGTCATTACGATTTCGTGAGTTAAATTGTATCATGTACTTGTAGGAATAAAGAGTACCATTATATTAATAGCTCATGGAACTTGTTTTAAACCTCTTTCATAAGTTTTTATAAATACACTATTGGGATCTCTTCCGTGAGTATGACAGCAGTGATCCATCACAGTATGCTAGCCCGTTTGTTAGCCCCAGGCTAAGAAAAGCTACATACATAGTGACTTACTTCCATTGGGGTCTAGTTCAATTGAAAATTCCACTTGGCAACTCTGCAACACCACCACCCCAGTGTTCATCTGACTGCAACAAACTTGTTACCTGGAACCGCTTTTTTTTCCGTACTTCGCATTGATGCTCGTCATCCCTCCCAAGAGGAAGTTCTCCGGGGCCATGAGCAAGTAGATTAGTTGAGAGAGAAAAAGCCTATATTACTGAGAATCTCTAGAAGACATTTAGAGTAATAATCTTTATTTCTACAAGTACATGAAACAACCAAGTAATATTTGCACTAGCAACTCGTTAGTTGTGACCGGTTGTGGACGTGTGAATTGCTCATTATTTTGTAATTTGTTCATGATTGTGACCATATATACACGTGTAGATAATTACCTTCGTAACTTGGTCATCATTGTGACCAGATCTACCTGGAGTTCATTACCTTTGTACCTTGTTCAGCTATCAAAACTTTGGGGCCCAGTCCCTGGACCCATTATGTACCTCTGTAATCCTTTGACTACCGCCCACAGGATGGGTATGGGGTGCATAATAGATATTTAACTATATAGAAATACCCTGGTTATGCAGAGCATTTCGGGCAAGTTAGGTTAATTTTGTCCCCAGGATGCGACCACACCAGTCCACTAACACCCAGGTACATATTTTACTGCTAGGTGAACATGGGCAACAGGTGTCTTGAGGAAGCGCATCCTTATGTTTCCACCCGTACCGGGGATCGCATCACGGACCTCAGTGTGTGAGCTGAGTGCGCTACCAACCCAGCTACGGGACACCTAGGAATATATTAACAATTTGTACAGGATTTTTTTTAATGGGTGCTCAGAATAGTTACACATGAAAATGTCAAATTCCAAAACATGACCAGAAACACTCATGTTTATAAGACTTTGTCGGAACACAAAAATGAAGGAACACTGCAGCAAGCCTAGAGGTCCATCCTAGGCAGGTCTAACTCACCCACTATTGTACCAATCCCATCTACATTTAAAGCTACCCAAAGGTCTTGCCTCAGTAATACTACCTAGGAGTTACACATCTATACTCCCCAGATAGGGAGCCAAGGCCGGGTCACCACTACTTGGAAAAGACCCGGGCCGGGAGAATACCGGCGAATAAAAAAAAAAAATCTACAACTCTGCCAAACAAATACTTCCCAATATCCTTTCTAAATCTGTCATATATCCATCGTTTCCAGAGTTAGGTGTGTCTCTAGCTTAGTGGACGGAGGATCGAACTTCAGTATTCTTGGCGCTGAAGTGCCCACACAGGTTTTGAAGATTCGCCTAAAATATAACACTAACATGTTATTATTTTCAGACCAGGATGAAGACACTGTGCTTGCTGCTGCTCGCCTGTGGGGCTTTTGCCGCCGGTAAGTTGAACCCTAGCTCCTGGACCCCAACTCTTTCAACTGACTATAATCACTACAGTATTTGGCTTCCACGTCCTGGCTTCTATATTAACTGTTTCTGAACTTGTGTGGAGTCTGTCTCCACTCTAACCATAGCTCATTTAATTTCTTCTATCTTCCCAGTTAATATTTTTTATTTTTAAAGCTGCAGTTTGCCAGTTATATTTCAATCATCGCAAATTTCCCAGCCTCTGGAAAATTTGTTTGGTAATCCTTAATCAACTTTAAAATCTCTCATCTCCCACCTTCTCTAAATTTTTGGTCAGGTTTCTGGAGGCTGTTAGTATCAAATAGTTTTTAGCAGTATAAGAGTGTGCAGTCCACTTGTTCAGCTATCAGAACTTTGGGGTCCAGTCCCTGGACCCATTATTTACCTCTAATCTTTTGACTACCACTCACAGAATGGGTATAGAGTGCATAATAAAGATGTTAAACGAATACCCAAGTTCTCGTATAACGTTATTATACTAAAACTTGTGAATATGATGATGGTATGCAATACCAGCGAGTTGATAAGACGCGTGTGCAACAATTAGGTATATTAACTGTTGTACATGTCTTGTAAGTCCATGAGGAGTTATTAGTTCTCTTCAGACATATTCTTCTGTTAGGAATCCCTTAAGGGAGGTTCCTTGATGCTGGTGAGGGGCTTTTGATCTAGGGAATTGGATCTGTGCTCGTTTCCTGAATTGAGCCTGAATACCTTCCATGCCCCCCCTCCACATGCGCTGTATAATCCTACGGATTTAGCGCTCCCGATGATTATAATAGCAATTCTGTTAGGAAACAGGACCAGCAATAACAGCTTGGTTGATCAGACCCTGATCCACCATGAGGCCTGGTCTCAGACCGGGCCACGGGGGTGTTGACCCCGAAACCCTCTTCAGGTAAACTCCGGGTAAGTGTTTCCTGACGCAGGTCTTAGTCATATGATGACCCACAGCTGAAGCTTTTGGCCATCCACTGGCTACCCCCTCCACCCCCTTAAAAATTATAGTTATGATTATACCCATCGAGTTTATATAATCTGTTATTCTTCATAGTTCATATCTCTTAACTAAGAGACAAACTTGATATCATACTTCCTGAAGTAATGATATTTTTGGAGGGTAATGCTGGTGCTATATATTCAAGGAGTGACCTTGTACGTAACTCATACAATCTTCCGCGAGTCCTTGAAGTTCTTAAAGGGAATTCTTAAGAACATAACGGAGGAGCACGACTACAGGCTTACTGGCCTTACTAGTGATGTACAGAGCTGTAAAATAACTTTGGGACTCCTGTTACTTGTACTTCTTGATATCCAAGTAAAAATAATCCGAGCCTAACATGTATCGCTGGTGTTAGCTAGTTATCTGTTTCCCACGAGAGATGTGATACACGTGATAGCTACCCTCGTGCAGCTCTTTGTGTCCCATGGGAGATATGTAACTGATGCGGCTCATGATATGAGAGGTTCATGATATGATAGATATCCACCATGAAGCTAAAATACCTAGAAAAACTTCCCACTCACGCCACACATATCCCAGCTTATCTTTCCTTATCCTCATTACTTAGACATTATCGGCTTTAAACTTTAACAACCATTTACGAACTGTTCTTGCAGTTTGACCAAGACTTAAGATAAGCGCAATCATTAACAGCTCCATTAGGCTGTTGGTGGTAGCTGGCTTTAATTTGATAAATCAGCCGAATTTTATTTTAGTTTTCAAGAATGAAGATTTTTTGCGATATAGTGGTAATATAACAGAGATAAAGGTGCATTATATACGGAAGAATATTATTCCTTGACTTCTTACTACTAACTGAATGAGAAGAGCTCGTGTTCCAAGGAGCTAGAGCTACCCTCTTATGCAAAATAACCGTGAAAAAAATGAATTTCCAGTCTCTGGCGATTTCTCACATATGTAACATCTTCCTCATTTGCATACCTCTTCAGTGTAGTAGTGAACTTACACCAAAGTTTTATACTGATATATTTATCTTGTACTGGCAGAAAAATTGATGTGTGTTTTGACAGACCTGGTGGAGCCGGAGGACTGTACGGGGTTCCCCTGTCTCATCTTCAACGAGGAGTTTGATTACTTCGATCACGATGTGTGGGAACACGAGGTTACCATGTCTGGTGGTGGGGTGAGTACCCATGTTGTGTCCCGTGGTGGGTGAGTACCCATGTTGTGTGTCCCGTGGTGGGGTGAGTACCCATGTTGTGTGTCCCGTGGTGGGGTGAGTACCCATGTTGTGTGTCCCGTGGTGGGGTGAGTACCCATGTTGTGTGTCCCGTGGTGGGGTGAGTACCCATGTTGTGTGTCCCGTGGTGGGGTGAGTACCCATGCTGCGTGTCCCGTGGTGGGTCGAGTACCCATGCTGCGTGTCCCGTGGTGGGTCGAGTACCCATGCTGCGTGTCCCGTGGTGGGTCGAGTACCCATGCTGCGTGTCCCGTGGTGGGTCGAGTACCCATGCTGCGTGTCCCGTGGTGGGTCGAGTACCCATGCTGCGTGTCCCGTGGTGGGTCGAGTACCCATGCTGCGTGTCCCGTGGTGGGTCGAGTACCCATGCTGCGTGTCCCGTGGTGGGTCGAGTACCCATGCTGCGTGTCCAGTGGTGGGTCGAGTACCCATGCTGCGTGTCCAGTGGTGGGTCGAGTACCCATGCTGCGTGTCTCGTAGTGGGTTGCGTAGCTACACTGATACATTTCAATAAGTTACAGTGGGAACACTTCCAGACGTCTAGAATCTTGATGAATAAGGCACTTGTGAAACATCTAAGTATCTTTACTCTGGAAACGCTTCGCCACGCAGTGGATTCTTCAGTCAGATGCAGAGAAAGGTGGAAGATGAGAAGTTTGAAGTAATCAGTCCCTCGGCCTGGAGTCGATCTGTTCAATCAGTTTTGACTAGAATCTTCCAAATGACACACAGCACACGATCAAGTACTCGGAATTAAAGTAAATTCTCAGTGTATATAGTGATACACTCCTCGGTATTTAAACACTGCTGTATTTGTTTAAATAAGACACATGTGCAATAGTTGGGTATCTTATTGTTGAAACGTTTCGTCTACACAGTAAACTTCAGTCAAATAGACGCAGCAGGTGTAGTAGTGAAATGAAGATGATGTAATCAGTCCATCAACCTTGGAGAAACAGTATTAGAGGTGGTCAGTCCCTTCGTAACGTTCCAGACCATGGAGCTGAACTCTTCTCCAGGCTGAGGGACTGACCACCTCAAATACTATTTATCCAAGAAGCGAAATGTTTCAGCAATAAATATACCTAACTGCTGCACATGCCTTAATCATCAACTGCTGTATGTCGTGTGAGGACACACAAGTCTATGGAACATTGAATAAGATCAACAGCTTCTTAGATGTCACTACTGCTATGCTGAGGTTGGCCTACAAGTATCTGTGGAAGGTTGTACCACCAGCTAATGTACACAACCTGAAGACTCAGATGAACCACAGGGATGTCAGGCAGTATTTCTTCAGTCAGTTGTCAGTTAGTGGAATAGTCTGGGAAGTGATGTAGGGGAGGCAGGATCCATACATAGCTTTAAGAAGAGGTATGATAAAGCTCACGGAGCGGGAAGTGACCAGGAGCTGTGAATCGACCCCCACAACTAGGAGAGTACAAAAATTATATCCTGCCAAGGGAAACTACTGCCACACTGCCGTGATAAGACTCAATATGTGCCAGAATCCGAAAGAAAAATCATGACTTCACAAATACTTCGTTCGCAAATTTGGATCTGGAGATGCCAAAATATTTTTTTCCACTGTAAGCGCTGTATAGCCCTTGTGGCTTAGCGCTTCCTTTTGATTATAATAATAATAATTTTCCACTGTAGCATAATAGGAGCCCTTCTGGGAAAATATCCCTAGCTTGCTTATTGTAAAAGTACAGATAATAGACAAGTGCAACAGTTCAAATTCAAATTCAAAGTTTATTCTCTATAAGGATTACAATGCTGAGTTTACAGAAATTTGGTTATTGTTTGGTTTACATGTAGTAAAATTGTGATTACAGAGTGTACCACTAGAACGCTTAGCATGGCTAGGCATTTCGGGCATACTTAGTTTTATTCTTAATTGTAAAATATTACAAATTATGAGGTAAGTTGGTATTATGGCTAAGTGACTAAATACTAGTTTGTGAGTTTAGCAATGTGAATGCTTTTGTTTTGGCACAGTATATAGTTTCAGTATTGGAGTATCACAGGATTCATTATTTTAAGACTGAGATTAATATTTCTGTTTATGGTCAAATGAGTGAGCGAGTGTAAGTGTGAACCACCAGGTGGTATTCGTGTAGTTAGTTGACGGGGTGTATCAGGGAGATAAGATGTTTTCTAATGGTAGTTTTGAAGGTGATGAATGTGTCTGCAGTTCTAGAGTTCTCAGGTAGGGTATTCCAGATTTTAGGGCCTTTGACATACATCGAATTTTTGTAAAGGTTTAGTCGGACACGGAGAATGTCGTAGAGATGTTTGTTTCTGGTGTTATGCCTGTGGGTTCTGTCACAACTATCAAGAAAGCGTTTTAGGTCAAGGTTGATATTAGAGTTTAAGGCCCTGTAGATATAGATTGCACAGTAGTAAGTGTGGATGTACTGAACTGGGAGTAAGTTTAGATCTTTGAAGAGTGGGGGGGTGTGCTGCCAGGGATGGGATTTAGTGATTATTCTTACTGCAGCTTTTTGTTGGGTTATTATTGGCTTTAGGTGTGTTGCTGCAGTTGATCCCCAAGCACAAATAGCATAGGTGAGGTATGGATAAATAAGTGAGTGGTATAGTGTGAGAAGGGCATTTTGCGGCACGTAGTATCGTATCTTGGAGAGGATCCCAACCGTTTTGGATACTTTTTTGGCTATATGCTGGATATGGGTGCTGAAATTCAGGTTGTTGTCAAGGTATAAGCTAGGAATTTTCCCCCATTATTTCTGGTAATTAGAGTGTTGTCAATCTTAATGTTAATTTGTGCATCTCCTGCTCTGCTACCAAACATAATATAGTAAGTTTTGTCAGTGTTAAGCGTAAGTTTATTGGCTGTCATCCAAGTCGATATTTTAATCAGCTCCTCATTCACAATGGTGTTGAGGGTGGCAAGATTAGGGTGAGAGATGACATAAGTCGTGTCATCAGCAAAGAGAATGGGTTTCAGGTGTTGGGATACGTTTGGAAGGTCATTGATGTATATGAGGAAGAGCAGGGGACCAAGGACACTTCCCTGGGGAACTCCAGTATCAAGTGGCCGTGTTGCTGATGCTGTCTTTAATGGTGACGTTTCTTCAGTCGAATACAGAGGAAGCAGGAGAGGTGTGAAGACGATGTAATCAGTCCATCACCCTTGAAGACGTAGTTTTGAGGTGGTCAGTCCCTCAGCACAGATGTTGGGGTCCAGTTCCTGGACACATTGCGGGTGTCTGTAATTCTTTGACTACCGCCCACGGGATTGGGTGTGGGGTGACCACCGCCCAGGGGATTGGGTGTGGGGTGACCACCGCCCAGGGGATTGGGTGTGGGGTGACCACCGCCCAGGGGATTGGGTGTGGGGTGACCACCGCCCAGGGGATTGGCTGTGGGGTGACCACCGCCCAGGGGATTGGCTGTGGGGTGACCACCGCCCAGGGGATTGGCTGTGGGGTGACCACCGCCCAGGGGATTGGCTGTGGGGTGACCACCGCCCAGGGGATTGGCTGTGGGGTGACCACCGCCCAGGGGATTGGCTGTGGGGTGACCACCGCCCAGGGGATTGGCTGTGGGGTGACCACCGCCCAGGGGATTGGCTGTGGGGTGACCACCGCCAACATTGTATAAACATAGAAAAATACACCCTCGGTGTATATACACTGAGGGGTATTTATACATTTATTATAATAAACATGAGTTAAGAGTGTGAGTAACAGTATGAGTTACTATGGTGAAAACAGTTATGAGTAATCCAATCTCCTTTCTCCACAGAACTGGGAATTCCAGGTCTATTTAAACAACCGGTCTATCAGCTATACTCGAGACTCAACGCTCTTCATTAAACCGGTAAGATATACAAGTTAGATAAGTTAGATAAGGTTAGTTAGATTTCAAGCCTGGAGAAATACCTTACTTCCTCCGACCTTCATATATGTATGCTCATCAAAATTCACTGGTCAGTTTTCTCCCTCACACGATGTGTATATGCTGGGAGGTGTGCATCTCTTGGTATATATACTTAAAGGTTTAATTCGCTCTCTATTTAGGTGATTAAAGTAGCCTTGACTGGTTGTGTGAAGGTTACATGGAGTTTTAATGGCCTTCGTGTGGTTGTTGGGCTTTAAAACCATTGAAGCAATCAACTCTTGCTTTACAGATTAAAGTGTCTTCAGACTGGCTGTGTAAAGATTGGAAACAGGATAAAGTTGCTGAACAAAGTTGCATGTAGAGCTGTGGTAAGCTTTATAAAGTCATTGCAGTGAAGTCTATTTTCAGTCGATTGATTTTAAGCCCAACAAACCACCTCGGTAGGGTCGGGTCAGGTCAGGTCAGGTTCGTCAGGAAACAGAACAAGTGTTTCCTGATGCGGGTCTTAGATGATGACCCACCAATTGGAGTTTCTGGTCATCAGAGGCTTCCACTGGCTTACCCCTTCACCTCTTTAAAAATTATGGCTGTAGTTATAACCATTTCTTCTTCTCGGCAGGATCTGACGTCGAACTGGCAGACTGAAGGCTTCCTGACGAGCGGAGACCTCAACCTGTGGGGAATGAATGGACGTGGAGACGTGTGTACTGGTAATTCTTACTATGGCTGTGAACGTACAGGCAACGCTGTTAACATCATCAACCCTGTGATGAGTGCCAGACTCAGGACCCTCTCGGATTTCGCCTTCAGGTACCCGAGATTAGGAGTTGTTCATATTTTTAACCCAGTAGTAACAGCCTGGTTGATCAGGCCCTGATCCACCATGAGGCCTGGTCACGACTGGGCTGTGGGGGCATTACCCCCCAAAACCTCTCCAGTATTATTAGCCATCCAGGATAACCCAAGAAAGTAAGTGTATCATTGGGAGACTGTCTTATTTCCATTGTGATCTTTAAGTCTTGTCCTCCAGGATGCAATTAACAACAGTCTACTAACATCCAGGTACGTATGTACTTACTGCTAAGCTAACAGGGACAGCAGGTGCAAGGTGACTAACAGCAAGATACGACATATTCCATTACACTGTGTATATGTACCGAGAGATTACATGTAATACTTGAGTGAGTGAATTCATTATGTAACTATTATCAAAAACAGCTCAATCTTATAGCCGAATCGAATAACTGACAAAATGTTTAAGCCTAGTCCCAGTATAAGCGAGGGAATGTACAGATCATAATTTAAGAGTTATGAGTCTGTAGTTTTTCCTTAGTATATTTATTTGTTTGCCTAATAAATACCTTAATTTGGCAGGTACGGTCGTATTGAGGTTCGTGCGAAGATGCCGCGAGGAGACTGGCTGTGGCCAGGTGAGTGATGAACAAATAGCAATTGTCAATTATTCTTATGCGGCATTAAACAACACGGTGCTAATACAGATCGTAGTTTGTTTAGGCACACGCATACATAAGTACAATTATCATACATGTAAATTAACTAGACTAACCCCAAAAAAGGCAGTAGATTTCCGCAGCCTTGGTAGTATGATATTTCGCTTTCTAATGAGCATTAATGATAGTTTTCCCATTTTTCTGTCCTGGCATGCTTGACCTCATTTTATTCTGTTGGGTGTGGGAACTTCAGGTGCCCAATCTGGCAATCACTGTTGACACACAACACAAGACTCATTTGTCCTGTTTTCACAAGTATCACTATGGTTACACTTCTGTATAAAGGGTTAACTGACTTGCAGAAAATCCTGGCTTTCCCCATGCACAAACTAGAACACTCAAATCCAACCTCACTCATGTACTGTATGTATTTATCTAAACCCAAAAAAGTGTAAGGTTGAGAGTTTCTTAACAATTACCAACAGCAGCAACAACTCGAAACACCAACGTCAAAGACCTGGGAGTGATCATGTCGGAGGATCTCACTTTCAAGGACCATAACATTGTATCAATCGCATCTGCTAGAAAAATGACAGGATGGATAATGAGAACCTTCAAAACTAGGGAGGCCAAGCCCATGATGACACTATTCAGGTCACTTGTTCTATCTAGGCTGGAATATTGCTGCACACTAACAGCACCTTTCAAGGCAGTTGAAATTGCTGACCTGGAAAATGTACAGAGAACCTTCACGGCGCGCATAACGGAGATAAAACACCTCAATTACTGGGAGCGCTTGAGGTTCCTGAACCTGTATTCCCTGGAATGCAGGAGGGAGAGATACATGATTATATACACCTGGAAAATCCTAGAGGGACTGGTACCGAACTTGCACACGAAAATCACTCACTACGAAATCAAGACTTGGCAGACGATGCAACATCCCCCCAATGAAAAGCAGGGGTGTCACTAGCACGTTAAGAGACCATACAATAAGTGCCAGGGGCCCGAGACTGTTCAACTGCCTCCCAGCATACATAAGGGGGATTACCAACAGACCCCTGGCAGTCTTCAAGCTGGCACTGGACAAGCACCTAAAGTCGGTACCTGACCAGCCGGGCTGTGGCTCGTACATTGGTTTGCATGCAGCCAGCAGTAACAGCCTGGTTGATCAGGCTCTGATCCACCAGGAGGCCTGGTCACAGACCGGGCCGCGGGGGCATTGACCCCCGGAACTCTCTCCAGGTAAACTCCAGATATTTGCGTTTTTTCCTCGTGTATGTAGTGAGGTGCTTTAACATATTCTTCCTTTCACAGCTATCTGGCTTCTCCCGAGGTACTGGCCCTATGGTCTTTGGCCCGCCAGCGGTGAGATTGACATTGTGGAGTCCAGGGGTGAGTACACTGACACTAAGATATCTAACCAAAAATACAGAAAAAAATGCAAGTTTATAAGGAATGTTCTAAATTAACCCTGGGAATGTAAAATGAAGACTGTATATTTCATGTACAGTAGCAGCACTTAGCTTTATTATTATAATCAAAATTATCATAATAAACTGACTTGTCTCCTCCACTACAGGTAATGAGAACTATGGTAACCTGGGCAACCAGTATGGAGGCTCCACTGTCCACTGGGGACCTAACTGGCAGAGGAATATGTACGAGCTGACACACACTGACTAGTGAGTGTTCTTTCTTATGATGAAAATTACACGTGCAACATAAGAGTATCTCTATTGTAGATGTTTCACCAACCAGTGGTTTTATCAATATAAATTAAAGGACATAATTGGAAAACAGAAGTATATACAAAAGATGAGGTAATCAGTCCCTCAGCTTTGGGATTGGCTCTTCTGGGGATTCATAACTTTATTTACGAGCTAAAAGCCGTTACCTACATCAGCTCTCTAACACTATCTTTATCCACAGTGCTGCCAGTGATGGATCCTTCGCTAACAGTTTCCACACCTGGAGGCTAGATTGGACCAAGGACAATATGTTGTGAGTACCAGTTGACACTACCATTTAATGTCTGTTTTTTACAGCATGAGTAACATGCACAACATCAATGCTGTCATATAAGTGAGAAACAGAAACCTGTTACATTGCACTGTCAGCATTGCTGAACATTTCTTTTGCCTCCTGAATATTTAAGATAAGTGAAATTCTTACATGTGCTATATACTTTTTCAGTTGTTTCTTACTTCAAAGTATAGTAAATCCTTTCTAGTCTGAGACCAGACCACAGGTCCATTGATCTTCAGAATTATTAGTAGATAATACTGTTATAATGAAAACTAAGTGCTAAACCCACAAGGGTCATACAGCACTGAGAGACAATAGATATTGTATAACAGTGTATGTGCAGTATTAAATGTCTGGTGCAGGTTCTACCTGGATGACCAACTTCAGCTGACAGTGGACCCAGGCACCAATTTCTGGGACTTCGGTGGATTTGGAAATGAACTGGACAACCCTTGGAAGGCTGGCTCAAAGATGGCTCCATTCGACCAGAAGGTGGGCAGCCAGACTATTCATTTTTATTATTGTTATATTATTTACAGAGAAACCCTAAACCCATAGGCCTTGTGCAACTCTTGAGGGTTAGAAGGTAATCAGGTTCAATCCAAGGGCAGGGCAGGGCAGTTCCAGTTCCTTTTATCAATAACCCTTTACCAGTGCCAAAGCACCCCATTGATGGGTCAGTAGAAACAGAATGCTCTACTTAGATGATTGTTACTGTTTTTTTTCAACATGCTGGCTGCCTCCCACAGAGGCAGGGTGACTCAAAAGACAAGGAACACTTTCACCATCACACATTACTCTTTGCAGAGGCCCACAGATACGACAGTTCAAATGTCACTTAAACAGCCAATATCCCAAACCCCTCCTTTAAAATGCTGGCATTGTACTCCCACCTCCAGGACTCTAGTCCAGCTAACCAGTTTCCCTGAATCTGTTTACAAAATATTGCCCTGCTCACTTGAAAGGTTTTATTTTTATTTTTACTAAGCTATATGGGAAAGGGATTATTATCCTGTTGCTCTTGGCATTTTAGTTTACTTCTAAGACACTCATGGCTTAGAGGAAAAATTATTTTAATTTTCCCATGGATATGAAAGGAAATAATAATAAAAAGAACTATTAAGAAAAAATTAAAAAAAAACTTGTGTGTGAGACCTAAGTAAAAGTAACAAGATACACCTGTTATCTTGTGTTTGAGACAGACACCAGCACTCCTACCATTGTGTAAAACAAATACAGGTTTCCATCTTAAACTTGTTTGGCAAGACAGTAGTACCTCCCTGGGTGGTTACTTATTACTATTTAATTTTTTTTTTTTAAACTGTATAGATCATTGAAAATTGGGAGATTTGTGACAATGCTGAATATGTTCCAGTTCTACGTGGTGTTGAACGTGGCTGTGGGTGGCGTCAATGGCTTCTTCCCAGATGGTATTACAGACAAGCCCTGGAGTAATGGCTCTCCCCAAGCAGCCCTGGATTTCTGGAATGGGGTGAGTTTAGATAGTTATGAATGATTGGAAGTGCAGCAAAGGTATATATACTATACAATGAGTTTTGTCTTGTTTATGTACACCTTGAGAAATGTATGGGTATAGTTTGTATCAGTGTATGCATGTGTATATAAATGTGAGTGTATGGAGGAAGTAATGTCTGGATATTTAGAGCTGGACATGCCACCAGATGGGTCTATGAAAGATGATTATAACCATAACTAAGGTGAACCATCAAATAGACAAGGGGTAAAATATGGGTGGTCAGACATTGTTGGAGGCAAAATAAGGAAATGTACTAGAGTATAACTGTAGTATCAAGACTTAAAAGTGTGAAGATAGATTTTGAATGCTTCTGCTAAAAGGAGGCTATAGACATGTTTGAGAGTAATGCATGGTGTGACCATGCAGAGCATTTTGGAATGGTTGGAGGCTTTAAGCTTTAGGGTCCTAAATATCTAGCAAGCTTGTGTGAACTAAGGATAGGAAGGATTAACTTCAATTCTTTGGATCAGGAGCCTTCCCCAGTTTTTCAGTTTCACTTTCTATTCCCTCCTCCAGTAGGATTACTACATTCACAGGGAGTGTTAAGCCTGTAGAACACCTGGCAAAATAATCAGGGAATTAAGTTTTATTCAAGGAATAAGTTTAATTCCTTGGATCAAGGGCACTTTAATAAAGGCATTTCCATTGAGGGATGCCCCCCCCCCCACTAGGAGTACCTCTTACTACCCCAGTGGGAGTTATTCATGGGGAAGTGCTAAACCTGTAGGGGGTCATTTAACAGCTAGGCAAATGGGGGGGATCATTCAGGTTGAGTCCAAGGAAGAGGACATATCCAGTTCCTTACATCAAGGTTACTTACTCCTTGCAGCGTGACTCATGGCTGCCCACCTGGGAGCAAGGCGAGGGTCGCATCAGTGAGAATGCAGCGCTCCAGGTGGACTATGTGAAGGTCTGGAAGATGGAGAGTGTCGACCAGTAGACACCACCCGTCCTGCATGCTGTGCTTGCCTCTCCTGGTATACAAACCGTGTGTAACACTTTCACATTATATGAAGGGCCCTTTGTATAACATTTATCTCGGGTTACTCCTGTGTAGTCCTTAGTTTGGCACCTGTCTATAATACTGTTACATCTGTTAAGGGTAATTTTTTTCACCTTACACTTGATACATTTAAAATAGTCACAGCAAGAGGGGTACAGCATGTAATACTGCACTCCAGCAGCACAGTAAAAAATAAAGCACTCGCACAAGTTATTCATTTATACCTATATATAAAATTTGAAATAAGAGAACGAGTCGGCATGTGCAGGGAAATATACGAAATGCAGTAGAGAACCTTTTTTTTTTTTTGTTTGTTTTAGTTTAAGAAACTTGGATAATTCCTCGTATGTCGAGGTCTTACCGTACCTCCCATTCCACAATGCTGTACAACCCTTACAGAATTGGGGCTTCCCTATACACTTGTATAATCCTAGGACTGTGCCAGATTATGTAATCATAATGCAGTTGATAAATTAAGTTCAATTCTCCATAACACCTTTTATTTTAAATATAGCTGTACATATACATACATAAATATAATACACAATAAGGTAAGTGGTGCTGACAATGACCACATCATTGAGTATCTGGAATGTTGGTTATTAATTACAGAAAAACGCTCAACATTAAGAATGACTTTGCACTATTTACAAAATTAACATTTAGCACTTGTATACAAGCATAAAGATGACTATCTTTGGGGAAAAATATACACAGAAAAATTACATCTGTTAAATAACTACAATCCAGGATATAATTAGTCTATTCTAGTTCCCCTTGTTCATAAACTTTGTGCAGCTACTTGAAGCAAACTTACTTGAACTGTCTTGGTTCTCACAGGTCGTGCTGTAGGCCTAAGAACATTACAAGATATGTTAAGAGCAAAATAGACATGACATTCAAATATCTATATTACAAACAAACTTGACCTACACACATTAACCTCAAATGTTGCCATTTTTAAAATGGCATTTTAACTAAACAAGGGACTAACATCGGGGAGAGGAATAACTATGAAATACTATCCTTCAGTGAGCTCTCGATCCAAGGAACTTGATCTGACCTGTTTGCCTCCTGTAACTCCCCTCCCAAAGATGCTGAATGACCCATACAAGTTTAGCACTGCTCCCCCCCCCTCCCACTTAATAACCCATAAACGGTCCAAGCAGATCTACGTTCACACGTGTAGTGCTACAAAAGTAGATCTACGTTATTTTTACATATATTTGAAAAAAAAAAAAAAAAAAAAAAAATATAGATCAAAGCTTTTTTACATACTTTCAAATGTTGAAAAAACATATATACGTTTGGACCGTTTATGGGTTAATAATTCTGTATTAATATTACTCCTGGTTTTCCGTTACATTTATTTTGAGTCTTCACTACAGCAGCAGCTGTAATTTGGAGCCATTTTTTTTCCAATAACTTTGATACATCTGAAATGTAAAAATCAAGAATATTGCATTTAACAACTATTTTTGGGAGGGCTATGAAAGTCACAAAACTTTGGTTGGTAATGTATACAAGTTACAAATATTCACTATTGACAAAACACCCAAATATACATTGAAAAAATCCCATTTATGCACAACTCATCCTTACATAAGCAGGATACTACTTTTTCATTACATAAATATTGAACTACAGTTACATTACATATTCTTTAATATTTTTTTTCAACAGTGACTTGCATGGATAGTCATGTTATAAATACTATAAGCAGTTGTATAGCAGATGGAAACCTAAGTCACAATAATTCACTGCAATGATAAGTTACAATACTATAGCTGGAAGAATTCACAACTAAACCACAAATTCAAGATATAGTACATTTCAAACCTTCACTAGAGAATTAATAATCCAGAATATGCAAATAAATCAGCTATTCTAATTTGTGGGTTAGTCATGGATTCATTATACTGTAAGGACATTAAGCCTATAATTTCAGACTAAATCCAATATTATTTTCAGTTATAGGGTTCATGATTGAACAAAGATTTTTGGTTCCATACATTTTAGCTGATTAATAAGTAGCATTTGAAACCACAATGAGGCTGGTATTTAGTCAGCAACTGGCACCATGATGGGCTGCCCCTTAGGGTCATCAAAGCGATCCATGGTCTTGATGTCACTCAGCATGTACATCCCAATGGAGAGAATGATTACCATCAGCAGAGTTGCTAGAAGACTCATCCAGATAGATACAGTGAAGAAGCCTACACAGTCCCAGGCATCATCAAAGCTGGGCTTCAACGAGAACGGTTGCATCTGAAGGGTTAAGATTATTATTATAATTATAATCAAAAAGTGCTAAACCACAAGGGTTATACAGCTGAAGGGTTAAGAAAAAAAATTAACTGCTTTTGTAATATGACTTTTTTAATAATCAATTAGGCATTACATTAATCACAACAGGGCCCTTTACATGGGTGCCTGGTTGCTAGCAGAAAGCTCTTGGTCAAAGGAACTCAAGCTACCCTATCCTTTCTTGGATCAAACCTGATTACCATAAATTCCCAAGGAACTGCATGAACTTGCTGTTCTCATCACCAGGTGCAAATATGTTTCTGATAACCAAGTTCTTGCTTGACACTTGTTCTAAAATTATTTACACATATGTTTCCCTTTTCACACTTGTTTAACATTATAGATACTTCCCCTTCAGCTCATTTCTTCAGATATACCTGTCTTAATCCCATTCACTCCTACCAATTACAACTCATCCGCACCTTCATAATTTTCACTCTGCTCTGACGTTCAGTTACCTTTTACTCAAATTTTGTTTACACCTCTACACAGTAACACCTCAACCTTACATTATGGTCTACTTACAGTATTGTATATGTACACAAACATTTACTCTTGATATTTTTATATGTAATCAATTCCACAACTTCAATAATTTAACTGATTGTAATGGTCATTAAATTCAGGCTTGCCCAAAATAGTGTGCATATGGAATTTGCAAAAATTAAAAGTTCATCATTTACAGTGATGTGCATCTGCAAATTTAATGCAATTTTTTTTATAAACATTTTGTACTTTATTAAAATTGCAATTATAAAAAAAATACTGCATAATTCAGTATTACACTGAATTATGCAGCATTTTTTTTTGTTGTTGATGACTACATGTACCAATACTGAAAATAAAAGTGGATATAAATGACAAGAGAAAATAATTTTTCATGCAGCTCTGCACGAAAAATTAGAAATTTTTAAATTATGTAATTAAAGTTGGAGATGCAAAAACTGCTCATACCTGAACACCATTCAGAATCATCCCATAATGTGTGCCATTTTGATCTGTCTCGTTTGCCCCAAATTTCACGGTCTGTGCGCAGGCATATGACAAGCCCAATGGGATGCCACTGATGTCAGAATTTTCTGGCTGTAAAGGAAAAATACATTTTGAAATTCATCAACTGTCAATTTGAGGTAGATAGTTAACAGGGTATTACTGTACAAGTGTAACTATAAAATATATTTTCTGTGCTTGATAAATACTGTTCAAAAATTGACTTTTTGACCACTAAATGTTACTTTTTTCTATTAACCACAGCTCTTTAAAATGCTAAACTGCAATTTTTATTGTAGATATATATTACAGGGTACAAGATAGCCTAGGTCATAAAATGTGTGGAGGGGGGCCTGATACACATGCATGCACCTATTTTCAGTTGTAGGGGTTGATTCTCGGATCATGGCCCTGCCTCTTAACTTGCCACTCTTCAGATTGGGCCCCCCCCCTCCCTCATTATAATCATGGGGGAATGCTAAACCTGTAGGATTATACAGCACCTGTGGGTGGGGGGGGATGGAAGGTATTCAGGCTTAATTCAGGGAACTGGAGCACAGATCCAATTCCCTAGATCAAGAGCCCCTTACCAGCATCAAGGAACCTCCCTTGAGGGGTTTATCCCCCTTCTGCCTCATAGGTCCTCCACCACTTCCTCACCATAATCATTCCATATATTGACTACCCTAGTATCCCTGTGGCTCATTTGTTCCTGTAACTTCCAACAGTCTCCCCAAAGTTCCTGTCTGTCAACCTACCACTGTCTACCTTATCATTTTCCCCAAGTACTTTATAAGTTATATACCTCTTCCTGGTTCTTCTGCCCTCCAATGTCATTAGGTCCAATTCTGTTAGCCTCTCCTCATAGCACATGCCCCTTGGCTCAAACCTTGCTGCATACTTCTGCAGTTTCTTAACATGCTTTTTCAGAGGCAGGTTCCATACTGGTGTTGTATTCTCCATGATGGGTCTAATGTATGTCGTATAAAGGGCCTAGAATTACTGTTGAGATTCATAAAGGCTACTCTTAGATTTGCCAATGGGAATTAGTTGCAGAGGTTATTCAGTTGATGTGAGCCTCTGGCATTATACTGGGCACAATGCTCACCCCTAGGTCTTTTTCTTTTGAGTGAACTCTGCAGCCTATATCCCTTTAATCTATACCTAGTTTCCAGTCTTCTTGCTTCTTCCCCAATCTTCATTGCCTTGCATTTATTGGGGTTGAATTCAAGCAACCACTTATCTTGCCATTCTTGCAATTTGTGCTCGTGCAAGTGAACGATAGTGCACACCTCAAAAATTAGGGTGACATCTCAATGACAGGGCACGACCACTAGCTCAGGTTAAAATTCTAGTTGCACTGTACGAGGAATACTTATTATATATATAGTTGTTTCAGTGTAATATTCCTCAAAACATGGAAACAATTCACAGTATTTGACCTTACTGGGTTATCCTGGTTTAAATATATTTAGTGCACTCTGACTGGATTCCACTGTTAGTATCATGAATAAGTCTGTTAGAATGAACAAGTCATCCTCATGCCACTTCCAAACCCTATTTGCTGTTAAAGAAGGTGGTAGAGCAACAGTTCCTGGTTCATTGTGTACTGTTACTAGTGAGACATACTATTATGTCAAGACAGGCATCACCTGAATAGTTAATGATACACTGTGTGGATGCTGCTGGCCTTAGAATTTTTCAAATGTATGAATAGATTGAAGATGACCCAAAGAGTTGTGCTAAGGTAAAAATATTGGTAGGTGGCAGATCTGAAGGTACAAAAAATTGTGTACTAGTAAGTCGGATACAGTTTAAGGATTAATGTGTGGACCTACATTGTTTCTATACACACAAGACACTGTCAAGACAAAGAAATTTTCATAATAAAATATACTAACCATGAAGCCTATTACATCATTGTCAAAAAGGCCATCAATGTGTGTCAGTGACCACCGTCCCAATGCTTTCCTAAAGTGGTACCTGAAAATAATAGAAAAAATAAAGCTACAGAAAAAATGCAGTTAAAAACGAAATTGGTAATGATTAACAATTACAAAACTTTGTTTCGTATAATAATAGTTTTGAAGGCTGAAAAAAAAATTTTTACATCAGGGGTCCAATGACCCAATATGACAATCTGAATACCCACTGAAGCACACAAAAACCTGAAGATACCTCTAGGAACAATGTACCTGAAAATCCCACAGGAGCAAAACCACACACCTAAAGACCCACTAGCAACAACCAATTCACCTGAATGCCCACTATGAATACAAATGCACCTAAATGGTCAGCAAAGAACAAAACTAATGCACCTGAAGACCCACTAGGAACAGCACTTTCCTATATTGATTTCCCTCTCTAGACCCCAGTAAGGATTATCTAAGTTTTCCACTCTTGTTTTGCCTCGTGTGTTGTTTCTCACCACAGTCAGAGCCTTAGTGGCCAGCTTGATGCCTAAATCACCAGTTGACAACTTGCTCAGAACAGCTGGAGAAGCAAGGTATCTCTGTGGTCCCCAGGCATTATCAGTAATGTAGAAATCATCTTTCCAAACCATTAATTCTGTCCAGCAGCTTTTAATGACCCACTATGAGCTGTGCCATTAGCACCCTAAATCACAGCAAGGACAGCTGCAGAATACTGGCAAGAAACCAGGATCCAAATCATAAAGGCAGGGAACTCTAATCCAGTGGCAAGGGGAGTTTCAAACATGTAGGGGCCAGATGAAGCTAGCCACTGTTAAGCAAAAGATCCTGAACAATGCATGCACCAAAGCAGCAACAACGTACAGCCCTACATTTATATGAGTATTATTCACTTACAAGCTTCAATAGAACCACTTTGTCTATGCATACCCTGCCCTTCCTAAACCCTCCTTGGTCCTCTGCAATCCTACTTTTCTATCTGATTCTCAACTCTTTCAATAATAATTCTACCATGCACTTGACCTGGTATACTCAACAGGCTTGTTGCTCTTATAATTTTCACACACTTTTCCACCCTTTTCCCTGACACCTAGCAATTATACACAATCTAATATTATTACAGTATAGAATAAAACCAAAATGTACAAAACATTACCAGTTGAAAACATTTTGGTTAATAAAATGCGCATAAAAGGTATACAAACCAATACTTACGTAAACTGAACCTTATGTAACTTTCTTGAAGGAAAGTCCACACTTTGGTACTTGATCAAAATGTTAGCATCATCATTAAGACAGTGCCCAGTATCTCCACCTGAGGCTTTTGATTCATCAATAACAATTTGTCTGTAAAAGATTATAATTATTAATAACATACAGAAAAGCACTAAACTCATAAGCTTCATATAGTTCCTGGGTAATATGAGAGAATCTGATCGGACTAGGAAAAGGGTAACTCCAATTCCATTAATTAAGAGTCCTTCACTAGGATCAAGTCAAACCCTGTTTTGTTCATTAACAACCTGGTGGACTCAGCAGTTAACAAAATTCAGTATCAGGATTGGTTTTAAGAGTAAAACTTAAAATTGGATACAGGTAACCGATATTTTGTTTATAGAACTAAACTATCTAAATCCCTCTTCTGCTCTTTCAATTACCCTTTAAATCAAAACACACTTCATGTTTTCATTCCTTATTCTTGCACAAAATTTCTGTAAGCAATTCAATCGCCTCCAATCTGTTCCTTGCTGAAACACTTTATTTTTATTTTTCATACCAGCTGGGAGTGTGCTTCCCCCCCAAAAAAAGCAACACTTTCTCATTTAAAGCCTTGAAAGAAGCGTGTTGACATCACAGTTCATATGGCCCTTCTAACTGCAACATCCCACCCCTCTTTCAGAGTGCAGGCAGTGTACTTTCCACCTCCAGGACTCAAGTCTGGCTAACTAATTTCTCTGAATACCTTCATAAATGACCCCTTCATAAATGTTATCTTGCTCACACCAACAGCATGCAAGACATAATAAAAAAAAAAAACTTGCTTCTACTCACTCCTATCTAAATGTGCTCACACAAGCCTGATGGATGTCCAAGCCCCTAGCACTTAAAACCACCTTTACACATGCCCTTTAATTCCAGGGCCAACCCCTACCCCTCCCTCCTTCCATCCTGCATTTATACATTACCCTCTCTAAATGTTCAAACCATCTCAATAACCTCTCCTTAGCTCTCCGAATAATACTTTTGGTAGCCTTACCATCTAATCTTCAAATTCAGTAATATTTGATGTGATTTAGACCACCACCTAAATATATAAGGTGTGCCTGGCTGATTGTACCTAGAAGTTTGGGAAATTATATATCTAGTGTCCCTGTTAGCTTGTGTGAAGTGCTACCAATTCCTGATGTGATGGGTTGCAGCGGGATGCTATGTTTGTGAGAGTTAGGCAGCCCATGCATAATTATTCACACTGCACATTGCCCTCAAACATGATGTCTCCACGGCCTCCAACCTCCACCTCACTGCAATAGTTAACCCTTTCAGGGTTTTGGACGTACTAGTACGGCTTACGCACCAGGGTTTTTGACATACTAATACACCTAAATTCTAGCGCCCTCAAATCTAGTGAAAGCTGGTAGGCCTACATATGAAAGAATGGGTCTATGTGGTCAGTGTGCACAGTATAAAAAAAATCCTGCAGCACACAGTGCGTAATGAGAAAAAAAAAACTTGACCGTGTTTTTGGATTAAAACAGCGACTTTGCACTGTATTTTCGTATGGTATTTATTGTTGTATTCTAGTTTTCCTGGTCTCATTTTATAGAATGGAAGACATATTACAGAAACTGAGATGATTTTGACTGGTTTTACAATGAAAAGTACCTTGAAATTGAGCTCAAAGTAGCAGAAATGTTCGATTTTTACAAAAGTTCAAAAGTAAACAAATCATGCTACGCATCCAATACACATCAACTGGTGAGTCTAATATTCTTTCACAAGTGCTCTGATATTATTTATACCATTTCTACACTAATGCAGTAGTCTGCATAACAGTAAATCTTCTATTTTTTGTGAGAATAAAAATTCAAAGTGGAAAGCAAAAGAATGTAAGAGGGGCGTGGGGACGTGACTAATGAACAGAGGAAATGTTATTTTAGTGCCAGGAATGTCTTTCTTGTTTATTCTGAACCCTATTTGGAAATTGGCATCTTTTGAAATTTGTGTGAAATTGGCAAAATTGCTAAACTCTGACCACTTTATTGGATAGTTGAAATCGGTAAATAGGTGGTTTCTTGTACTCATTCGATAGAAAAAATGGAGTTCTAGCAAAATAGTTATGATTTTTGTCGACTAGTACACTGGATTTGGCCGAAAATAGAGCTCAAAGTGGGCAAAATTGCCGATGCGTAAATATCATCGAGACAGCTAACTTCACGAGAGCATAATTCCGTAAGTTTTCTATCAAATTTCATACTTTTGGTGTCATTATGATCGGGAAAAGATTCTCTATTTTTCATAAGAAATTTTTTTTTTTTTTTTTTTGAAAATTTGGTGACCCTGAGAACAAGTCTCAGAGAGGGCCTGGCGACCCTGAAAGGGTTAAAACTCATGCTTCACACCCTATAAGTTTTGACCACTATACTCAAGTACATTTCCCTTTTTTGTTTCCATGGATAAAGTTCTTTGTCTCCATTGTTTCATACTAAAAAAAAAAAAAACTGCACCACTATGCTGATTTATCCTTCTTACATTCCTTTCACAGATTTTAATCCTCTCGTCTATTCTACATTGTTATTCATCCTTCATAGACCCAACTGCTGATACAACCTCTCCTGAGTAATGAGTGCATTCATTTTTCTACCTTCTAATGTGACATAAGAACAGCACTGCAGAATGCTTACTGGCCCATGCTAGGCAGGTTCTACTCACATCCAACCATTCTAACTCACAGGCCTGTTTAACCTGAATTTTAAAGCTATCTTGAGTATTACTGTCATGTTCTGTTATTGTTTCACTACAGTATTTTCTCATTATAATCATGTGCTGTATGTACAGTGCTCACATCAGAGTAGAAAAACTTAAGAAATACTCATAAAACTCACTCTTCATTAAGTGTTAGCACAGTGCTGTTGTAAAGATAAATCTTGACACATGAGGAGTTATGGAAGCTTGTTAATGGAGAGGCTTCAACAGCCTGCAACGAACGAGCAACTCTGATCCTTTCCTCATATTGCTCACTGCGATCCTCCTGAAATGAGACTTGTATAGAAGAACACTGCAATGATAGACACTAACAACTAAACAGGCTAACACCCAAACTTTTGGAAGTTAAAACTGAGAAATACTATTAACACTTAAGATGGACAAAACAAACATTAATATTAAACATTCATAACATTTAAATATATTTTAAGTCAAATAACTTGTATTGTGAACTGACCACAGATGGTTTCAGACCGGTGAAGATAACAGTGAATGCTCTCTGAGCTCCAACCTTAGAGATGACATTCTCCATCACCTCATCTGAAATGGGTTTAGTAGTTTCCAGGTTTCAAATCATTATTATTCCAGAGTAGGTAGGTATAATGTTTGTCAGGAAACCGGTCAAGTGTTTCCTGATGCTAGGGAATTAATTACATAAAACCTTTATTAAAGCTTAATGTACTATAAATTTGGTACATACGCTGTACATAACCGGTTCACTACACTATTACGAAATATTCTTGGGAGCTTGCTCAACTTGTAAGGGCCATATACCATCTGGGATATGGAAGGCAATCAGGTTTGATCCAAGGGGAGGTTAGTTCAAATTCCTTGGATCAAGAGCCAATAAGCAGCATCAATGTATAAAAAAGTATAATGTACTACATACTACATATAAAAATAAAATTCGAGCAACTAACTTCATTTCAATGACTTATTCCACGATGGTCACAATGCAATTTTGAAATTACTACAGACGGGAAACCATAAGCTACAAACGGAATGGCAACTGGGTAAATTTTCAGCCGATACCGATACTGACACTTTTCCTATATTTTCATTTTTAAAATTCTAATAACTAAGTTCAATAATAAAACACACTGTGTGTGTAAAAAGATGCAATTTTCACTGTCAACTCAAGGCAGCTATATTAAAAGGCAGTTCAATATTTAAAACATAAAAAAGTTATTAAAATGAAATCAGAAAAAAATTACACAGCTACTTATTTTGAATAATTGTTAATGATACAAGAGCAGTAATCACAGAATCTTACCAGCTTTTTGCAGGGCTCTTCGCCTGCTGGGATTAGTGATAGTCGAGGGTAGTTTGACCACTACAAGATTTTTGTCTTGCTGCTTCAGGTTTAATCCAGCAGATGGAACACCAGGCTCCAGAACCACCACCTACTCGAACACAAATATACTGTAGTTGCTAAAACTTGACAGCAATATATCTGGTTTCAATGACCATACAACTACAGAGGAAGCTTCTACTGTGACAACTGTTTGCTGTACAGAGCTTTATCAAACCAATGCATTATTTGATAAACCCCTATAGCAAGAACCATTTACACAAGAGCTTGCTTTGCACCTGTTTTCCCTTCATTAATGTTGGAAGTATACTTACGTATTCAATCTGGTTTGTAGGTAATACACACAATTAAATAAGCCAAATATAAAACACAGGACTGATAAAGACTGCAACTTAGCTCTAGTATTGCATATTATATTAACAGCATGCTGAAAGCTTTAGAAAATTAGGTAACTAAGTGCTTAAATTAGGGCAAAAGTAATGAATCAATTATAAAACAAATGTACCAATATTTGAATAAAAGATTTAAAACAGCCTTATGCAAGATTATAATAAAAATTAATAAAATTAAAAGGAGAAGAACAGTTTTGATGTTCCAAGTGACCCTAAACCATTTGTTTCATCCTTAAAACTGTTGAAGTTTGAAGGATATAGGGGCTTCCATTTGTTATCATACAGACAGGAAGGGTAACCTTTTATATAAGCACTGATTCATCTTGATGTTTACTGACTGCGCAGGTTTTAGCTTCAACATCAACCTCACACTGAGGTCTAATTACCTTTAACAGGATGCAAAGTAATGAATAAATTTATGCTATAATATGATGCTAATGAACTGTATAGAGCTGCACTCTCACCATTTAGCATAGGAAACAATGACAAAATAAATCCAATTTCACCTATAATTTCAACAATACAGTCTCCTCACTTAGCAACGCACTCGTTTACTGACGACTTGGACTTATGACAGGCTCTCTGACCAGTATGCATACCTAAATAATGTATATTAGAGCTGATTTCCTCTATTCTGTTTATTACAATATACAGTACACTACTGAATAAACATTTAAAAATATACCAGAAATGTTATAAATGGTGCAAAGGTGACATTAAAACGATATCAAAGATGGCCGACGCAAACCCATTATCATTATAGTATGCTCCTCACTTAGTGATGAGTTCGTTTAAAGATGTGGTCTTAGGAACGCAACTCTGTCTTTAAGTGAGGAGAGACTACATACTTTAAGCAGCAAGAAAAATACACCACTCACATTATATCCATGTGAAGGAAGGTCATGGGCTAGGTGAGCAGCATTCTCAACATTGGGCAGGTACAGTGAATGGCTGGTTTCCATCCAGTGGTTTAAATGGTGCAATTCAGAGGCATGGCTTGAGAGATCTTCAACACTCAGCTGGGGTAAAGAAATTATTATATAATATATATCCATAGTAATTAAGAGATTGAAGCTGTTGCATCATTTAAAATTATTGTTAAGCCTTTATTCTGCTTGTGACTTTCAAATGGTAGTAAACCTCAGGCAAGATGGGCCAGGATCATTAGTTTTCAAATTATCCTGTTGGGTAATCAACAAGATAATTTTCAGTCTGTTTACTCAGGCAGTGACAATATTTTATGGATTGAAAGCACAAGCCTTTACTTTCTGAGAGGCGAGGGGGATTATTTAGGAACTTTTCGTAAATATCAAACTCCACACAAGATACTATATACCATACAGTAGAACCCCCATATCCACAGATTCGGTTTCCATGGTTTACCTTGGCCTGAAAATATTAAGGAGGTTGCAATTTGAGGTTTCATTTTTTTTTATTAACACATTGGCCAATTCCCACCAAGGCAGGGTGGCCCGAAAAAGAAAAACTTTCATCATCATTCACTCCATCACTGTCTTGCCAGAGGGGTGCTTTACACTACAGTTATAAAACTGCAACATTAACACCCCTCCTTCAGAGTGCAGGCACTGTACTTCCCATCTCCAGGGCTCAAGTCAGGCCTGCCGGTTTCCCTGAATCCCTTCATAAATGTTAGTTTGCTCACACTCCAAAGGCACATCAAGTATTAAAAACAATTTGTCTCCATTCACTCCTATCAAATACGCTCATGCACACTTGCTCCTAGCACACAAAACCTCCTTTACCCCCTCCCTCCAACCCTTCCTAGGCTGACCCCTACCCCACCTTCCCTCCACTACAGATTTATTCACTCTTGAAGTCATTCTGTTTCGCTCCATTCCCTCCACATGTCCAAACCACCTCAACAACCCTTCCTCAGCCCTCTGGACAAGTTTTGGTAATCCCGCACCTCCTCCTAACTTCCAAACTACGAATTCTCTGCATTATATTCACACCACACATTGCCCTCAGACATGACATCTCCACTGCCTCCAGCCTTCTCCTCGCTGCAACATTCATCACCCATGCTTCACACTCATATAAGAGCGTTGGTAAAACTATACTCTCATACATTCCCCTCTTTGCCTCCAAGGACAAAGTTCTTTGTCTCCACAGGCTCCTAAGTGCACCACTCACCCTTTTCCCCTCATCAATTCTGTGATTCACCTCATCCTTCATAAACCCATCTGCTGACACGTCCACTCCTAAATATCTGAATATAAGGATATACAAGGACCCCAGTGGATTTTTTTTATTATAGCCTGATTTCATTATGTCTTTTTTAATGTTTGAATAAAGAGTACATAAAACATGGTGGTGGCAGTGATGGCAGTAGCAGGTGGTGGTGGTATGTATTTTATCATTATTTAATGTTTGTAATGCCTTACTGAATGTAATTTGTCAATTAAAAGTTATCATAAATATGTCAATAAAAACAAATTGTACGTAGGGTTCGCTACCATCCACAGTTTGGGCATCCGCAGTACATCTTGTAATGTATCACCCATGGGGAAGGACTCCTGTATATTCCTAACGAGAAATTTCTACATTTGCTACAAAAACATTAATGAAACAGATCTTACCGCATCTTGCAGAAAGAGGAGAATATTCTTTGGCTTGAAAGGTTCCAGATATTTTGATTGAAAGGTTCCATAGTTAATATATTGTAAAGCTGACACTGCTGGAAGACCTCCTTGAGCCCTGGCAATAGAAAAAAAAAATTCACAATACACCCCAGTGAAAATAAGTCACTGATTTTTTTTTTTTTTTTTTGGGGGGGGGGGTTATCTTAGGTAATTTAAACTAGGTATGATAATTATGTTTATGTGAACCTGTACCTAAATAAATTAAAATAAATTTGCCTAAAACAAAATACAACCAAGACCAGAGCGATCAATACTCGTTTAGTATTATTATTATTATTATTATTATTATTATAATTATAATCAAGGGAAAGCGCTAAACCCGGAGGATTATACTGCGCTACACGTTTAGTAAATAAACTTATTACCAGGGGTAAAAAGGCTTTCCCCTCTTCCTCAAGGTACAACATACACATATATATGTCTGGTAAGTGTACACAGCTGCAATTAATGTGACATTTTTATTGCGGCAACGTTTCGCTCTTCAGGAGCCTTTTTTTCGTGAAGCTCCTGCGTCCTTTTCGCCCTCGGTGGTCTCTCCACACGTTAGTACATCCTATTTTGCAGAGTTCTTACCCCCTGCGGGTTTAGCGCTTAGTTCCGATCCTAAATACCAATAATTTGCCAAAGGAAGGAGAGCGAAACACCGCCACGATAAAACACATCACCTGCACTACGTTTCCACTTACGCAACATTTCGCCCTCGCCACCGGCGTTATTACGTACTGTTGAGTGTTCCATATGAGCACAGGAACGTGATCCTTGGCCAGAGAGGTACAAATCAGGGAGAAAAGAGCGAGGGTGGTGAGGATGCTGCCTGCCATCTTGAGTCAGCTGTTACACTGATCATATGATTGTCAATAAAACTACAAACACGAGTAATCCACACTAACAAAAGTCAATTTTTCTTATAAGGAGAGAAATTGCAGTAGAGATTTGTGTTTTAAAAACATTTTTATCTTTATTGGTTGTGGTAAAAGTGGATTTAACGGTTAAAATCTTATATTGCAGGAGAATGTTCTATTTTTTTTTCATTTTTGCTTTCTATGCTAAAAGAGGGTTTTAACTATTAAAAACTTTCATATAGATTAATGTTCTATTTTTTTTATTTACTTTCTATGTTAAAAGTGGGATTTAACTGTTAAAAAATTTATATAGAAGGATTTCTACAAAAAAAAATCTCTTATTTGCTTTGTTAAAAGTGGAATTTAACTGTTAAAAACTTGCGTATAAAATATTGTTCTATTTTTTTATACTTATTTTATATGTTAAAAGTGGGAATTAATTATTTAAAACTTGTACATAGAAAAATATTCTATTTATTTTTCTCTTGACTAGCTATGTTAAAGAGAGATTTAACTAATAAAAACATGCATATAGAAGAATATTATGTTTCTCTCTATATTAACCATGCTAAAAGTTTGATTTAACAATTAAAAACAGGTTATAATTGGTTAATATTATGGTTGACTTGTGGTTATTGTAGTTGCTAACAATGGGATTTAACTAATAAAAACATGCGTACATAATAATTTTATATTTTTATCTTTACTAACCATGCTAAAAGGTTGATTTAACGGCTAAAAACAGGTTAAAATTGGTTAATATTGTGGTTGACTTGTGGTTGTTGTAGTCCGCTGATCCTTCCCTCATCAACAACACTACGGCGGCGTCATGGGTCTGTTCCTTCTCTTATTTTTACCAGTTTTTACCCGGTATTTCTCTCATTTTTGGCGTGTTTCTTATTTATAATTGCGTGGTAGTAATGGCAGGGGGTTGCTAGGGTGGTACGAGGTAGTTAAATGGCGTAGTTTTAGCGTGAGGGAGGGTTAAATATGGTGGTGGCGGACACGTGAGAGAAAAGCTGCTCCTGGAAGCTGTGCGAGACTTTTTTTTTTATTATTTTAATGAGGGTAAACGCTAAAACTGTATGGATTATGTAGCAGCTAGGGCGTGTGGAGGCATTAAGTTTCTATCCAGGGAAGGGGAGAATAAGTTAGGGGAGGGTGAAAGAACGGACGTTTCGCCCACGAAGTATAAATGTGCCAGACGTCGTTACTATGAAGCTTTCAGTATAATTATTATCCATCGTGATTAAAACACATGTACATCAGTTGGTATCTTTATTGCTGAAACGTTTCACCTACACAGTAGGCTCATGAAATACTGAAGAAGCCTACTGTGTAGGCGAAACGTTTCATCAATTAATTTTCGAGTTGTCGGTATTTTATACTATTTTCAACATTGTCCATCGTGTTCGTATTTTATGCCTTTCAAATTATGTGAGCTGGTTATTGTACTACCATAGGCCTGGTCGCAGACCGGGCTGTGGGGGGCGTTGACCCCCGGAATTCTCTCCAGATAAACTCCAGGAAGTGTGACATAGGCCTAGTTGACTATGGTGGGCAACCCCAAGCGGATCCAGGGAAAAAATCTCAGCCTAACGTAATGTGACCTTTTTTTCCTAGCCAAAATTGTGACTTATTACATGTAAAAACTATTATTTTGTATACTGCAGACCCCTCAAGGGTGAGGGGCTCTTGATCTAGGGAATTGGATCTGTGCTGCATTTCCCTGCATTGAGCTTGAATCCCTTCCACTCCCCACAGGTGTTGTGTAATCCCTGTGGGTTTAGTGCTCCCCCATGATTATAATGTATACTGCAGAAAGAAATAGTTTGTGTTAAAAAAAATTAATCCCTAACTTGGTTTTATCTTCTTAGGAAAACCTCGTGGACTTCGCACTGCCCGTAAGCATCTGACCCACCGTCGTGTCCAGAGGTGGCACGACAAGGACTATAAGAGGGCCCACTTGGGTACCCGTTGGAAGGCTAATCCCTTCGGAGGAGCTTCCCATGCTAAAGGCATTGTTCTAGAAAAAATGTAAGTTATTTTCTTATGCCATTCTTGTTTTGCCACTGTATAAATAATACTGCAATTCATTGATCATTTATACATTTTATTTTCACATGCCCTTCTTTTTTTCTCCTTACTCTTTTATCCCCTTCTTTTCCTCTCACATAAGAACATAAGAACGAAGGAACACTGCAGAAGGCCTACTGGCCCATGCGAGGCAGGTCCAAGTCTCCTACCGGCTTAAGCCAATGCACCCAACCTAGTCAGGTCAGGTCACTTGACTTAAGGGAGGAACACGGCAACCGACCTGGTAGCACAAGCTATCAGGTCTAACTCACACCCACCCACATCTACTCATGTATTTATCCAACCTATTTTTAAAGCTACACAACGTTCTGGCCTCTATAACGGTACTTGGGAGTTGTTCCACTCATCCACAACTCTATTACCAAACCAGTACTTTCCTATATCCTTCCTGAATCTGAATTTTTCCAACTTAAAAACCATTGCTGCGAGTCCTGTCTAGGCTAGATATTTTCAGCACACTATTTACATCCCCTTTATTTATTCCTGTCTTCCATTTATACACCTCAATCATATCCCCCTAATTCTAGTCTTTCTAGAGAGTGCAGTTTCAGGGCTTAGTCTATCCTCATAGGGAAGGTTTCTGATACATGGGATCAACTTTGTCATCCTCCTTTGTACATTTTCCAGAGAATTTATATCCATTCTGTAATACGGTGACCAAAACTGTGCAGCATAATCTAAATGAGGCCTAACCAAGGATGTATAGAGTTGAAGAACAACCTGAGGACTCCTATTATTTATGCTTCTTGATATGAAGCCAAGGATTCTATTAGCTTTATTGCGAACACTTATGCACTGTTGTCTTGGTTTCAGATTACTGCTAACCAGAACTCCTAAATCTTTTTCGCAATCCGTAATATTAAGATCTACATTATTTAGTTTATATGTGGCATGGTTATTGTCCTGTCCAACATTTAGAACTTTGCATTTGTCTATATTAAACTGCATCTGCCACTTCTCCGACCACTGCATCAGTCTCTTCAAATCTTCCTGGAGTGCTCGAATGTCCTCGTCAGAATGAATTCGACGGCCTATGTTCTTAAAATGATTAGTTCTGCAGTGTTGAAAAGTGCTGTGCATTTCACTTTTAATGCTTTTCATATAAATACACTCTGGTAACAAATATATGATGAAATACTGTTTAAAGCTCTCTCCAGGTAAAAATGTCATACTTTTGAGTTAAAATGCACATTCATGAACCTCATTGTATTGCCTTGCCTACATATAACCAATAAAGCATTTAAATTACTGAGAGTGCCTCACTCACAAATATGTACTTAATACAGCAGAGGGGAAGAGATGCATGATAATGTATATGGGGAAGGTGCTTGAGGGTCTGGACCCAAATCTGCATGCCATAACATCCTAGAGTAAGAGATGAGAGAATGTATGGAATTAACCCATACCATAGTTCAGGACACGGGGCACAAGAAAGAAATTTGTATCAATATCCATGGTCCCAGAATTTTTAACATCTTGCCAGAAGATAAATACTGCTGAAACAAATGTAGGTATCTTGCTATTTAAAACCTAAAAAATTACAGTTACATAAACCCTTGAAGCTTCAAGTGACGATTCAAACCAACTACACTGCTTCTCGGGGGAATGTTTTAGACATGTTATTCAATTTCATATGCTTTCCTTTACTTCTGTTTTATTGTAACGCCGCCTGTTGCTTTTTTTCAGTGGTATTGAAGCCAAACAGCCAAACTCTGCCATCCGTAAATGTGTGCGTGTTCGTTGATTAAAATGGCAGAAGATCTATGCTTTGTCACCCGTGAGGGTTCCTGAACTACATTGGGAGAATGACGAGGTGTGGGCAGGTTGGTCGAAAGGGCATGCCGTTGGTGATATTCCTGGTAAGACTACTGTAAATTTCTTTAAAGATTTGACTTTTTCTGTTAAAACTATTTTGCTATCATTTTTACGCTGTTGTTAAATTTATTGTACTTTTAGCACAATGTAAGCACAGTATTACCTTAATACTTTGACATTTTGTACAGTGAATGCTTAATTCGTATACTGGGTAGTTATATAATGGAGTAATTGCTAGGGCAGGTCAAGAAATACAATATTCTTATCCTCTTGTTTTTGTTTCCAGGTATCCGATTCAAGGTAGTGAAGGTTGCCAACGTATCTCTACTTGCTCTATACAAGGAGAAAAAGGAAAGGCCTCGCTCATAAATTCATTTCAATAAAAAAAATTTAAACTAGATTTTGATTCATTGCCCCCCAATTTGCTTGAAAAAATTACATTGAACACTTTTTTTTTTCTTCAGTCTTCTGCTGAAGGTTTAATGCTTATATTAATTACTTATTTTTTATTTTATTTATTGATGAAGTGCTCTTGGTCCAAGGAATTTTTAAATGATTACCTCCCATTCCCAGGTTTTTACCCTTATATGGGTTGAGCACCATGAATAAAAAGTAACATCCTTGGATCAAAATTGTCTTAAATTTCCCAATCAGTAACAGGGTTTAATGCATCCCAGTTGGTCCCTTTATATTATAAAGGTATCTCAACTTGTGCTCCCCTCAAGGAAGGTTCCTTGATGTTGGTGAGGGGCTCTTGATTTAGGGAATTGGATCTGTGCTCCAGTTCCCCGAATTAAGCCTGAATGCCTTCCACATCCCCCCCCCCAGGTGCTGTATAATCCTCCGGGTTTAGCACTTCCCCCTTGATTATAATAATAATAATCAACTTGTGCTAAACTCAAAAGGGTCGTAGTGCTGCAGAGGAAGAATATACAAATGACAGAACTGCAAAAGAATGCACAAACTGGTGTCAAAGGGGAGACTGAGCAAGTCAAGGTCAGTGCTCTATGACCCTCATGGGTTTAGCACCTAGTTTTGATAATTCAAGGTCAGTGTTTGGCATGAATAGGCATGAAGCTTTCCCTTTGGCCCCCCTTAATACTGGCGAGGTATCCTTGATCAGGTGTACATATCCTCCCCTTCCTTGGATTAAACTTCCTTCCCATATAACACTGGTGAAGGGCATTTTATATTCTCCCATTCCTTACACTGAAACTTCCATCTTGCTTATAAGCAAGATAATCACAAGGGTGTTTCTTCAAGGGAGTTGCTTTTATGGAGAAGGGCCTTTGATCCTAGGACTAAGAAGCTACCCTCTTCTATCTCCTCAAAGGTACTGTACCTTGTGGCTGGTAAGGGGCTCTTGATTGAAGGGATTGGATGTCCCTCTCAGATGCTGTATGCCCAACATGGACTCAATGTTTTTTCCCCATGAAATGTGTTTAGCTCTTATGAAACTTCGGGGTTATAGTGCCTGGGGAATACGTAGCAATTATGTTTGACAAGGAAAATGAGGGTAGCTCCAAATCCTTAGACCCGAGTCCTTCAGCATAAAGATATGGGTCATAGCACTATCAAAATACGTATCTGGTTGAACATTGCAATCGTAACTAAATGCTAAATCCACTAGGGTCATGCAGCACTATTTGCAAAGGTTTAAGGGTGTTGCAAGTGGGACCACAGATCCCTCCACTAACTTATTGCCTGTTGACCATAACTTGCATCCAGTACATTTCTAAAACTGAAGCATACGAATGAATACAAAATGCATAATAAAAAGCTACAACTGATTGCTTCACTGCATATCCATATTTCATTTTTGGTGAATTGACTGCATATGACACAAACGGTAAACACGTTCAAGTAACCTATAATAGCAAATATTTCCCATGTTCCTTGAGAAGCATGTAATATGCTGTCTCTCTTATCAAGCACCTTTCTTTATAGCCCTTGTGGCTTAGTGCTTCTTTTTGATTATAATTATTATAATCAAAAAGAAGCGCTAAACCACAAGGGCTATACAGCTTGATTATAATAATAATAATAATAATAAAGCACCTTTAGCACATCCTACCCCGCAGCACTGTATGACTTATGGGTTTAGCACTTAATTGCGATTGTAACAATTCTTGAGAAGCGCTAAATCCACAGGGATTATGCAGCACAAGGGAAAAGGAAATCAACCCCACTCATTTCCCCCTTTAAAAGAGCTCAAAAAAGTTCTTAAGGAAGTGCAAAAATTTCAGCAGGTCTACATAGAACAAAAGGTAATAAATTTTGGTCTGGAAAAAAGGGGGTGGGTAGCTCAAATTCCTTGGATCAAGAGCTCTTCACACCATACCTGCACATCAAAAAAAAAATCCACACTAGGAAAGCGTGGGCCTTCATTATAAATGTACGCCTTTAAAATTTGAAAGGAGAAAAAAAGACAGTTCACCCTTGGGTTTTATTTAAGGACAAAATGAAGCTTATGGGTAGGATTTTGGTGCAGCAGGGCCCCGGACCCCCGAATTTTTTGGGTCACAGGTTAGGCAGCAACCCAAAACAGGGGCGGTCGTTTTTATCAAGATGTTTTTTATCTCTTTTTTGGGAGGCTTCGTCCCCAACGTTTTAAAATAAAAAATTGGAAGTTGTATAATACATCAATTTTTTTGAACAAATGTATGCAGCCCCGAGTACCTTAATGACGAATCATTTTACAACCAATGCTTTTAAATCCAATACACAGAATATAACTGGAAAAAGAAGTAAAAGAATTTTTAAGGGAAAAATTTGTTTTTCCCCAGTCAGGTATTGGCCTTTTTATTCCCTTTTTTGGGACAGATTTATGTTTCAAAGGTGAGGGACTTCATAAATTTCCTTCCCCTTTACCGTCTGGAATATATGCATGTACTCTGCAAATGATTTAAAAAGCCACTGGTTGACTGTTTCATCAAACAAAGGTAAACCGGTGTGCTATCTTCTTTCAAACCTTTTTTTATTGTGTACCTTAATATAAGGTACATTTTTATCAAAGTCAGTGGTCCCTCAATAATCGTCCGGCCTGAAAGTCGTCCATTTCGGAAATAGTCCCCTTATTTTGTCAAATATTGGCTCGAAATGGTCCTTAACTCGCTAATCGCCTTCGTCCGGGACGGTCTCCGCTCTGAGCCCCCGGGCCTGCCCTTCCCCCCAGTGTGCCATTTCTTCCCCTGAGCGACGGTCCCCTCACATGCTCCTACAAATATTTCTAATATTCCCTTGATTTTTTGCTTTCAATGCTAAATGAGTACCATGGCTCCCAAAAAAAGCTTTTAGTGCCAGCCCTTGGGAAAAAAATGTGAGAAACAACATAAATTTTTGAAAAAATTTGTAGAAAAATACAAAGGTGGTGGTGGTAGATGGAAGCAGTTGTAATAGTGGTGGTTTATGGGGGGTAGTGATGGTGATAGAAGATAGTGATGGTGGAACCCGTTGTAAATATGGTAGAAGGTCGTAGGAGGGGAGAGGGTTCCTTCTTTTGTGATTCAGCGATTCATAACCCTCCCAAAGTTGTTGGGTTATAAGGGCTACAGAAACCCCCCACCGCCTCAGCTGTGCTTCACCCCCATTATGGAGGCTTACCTCAGTGGGCCCTTTTATACCCAAAAACACAAAACCTCTCGGACTACGTAAAGACTTATTTAAATTTATTTTAGAGTTATTTCATGTTTTAAGTTATTAATACTGTTTTTGTCACATTGTTGAAATTTTGATGATAAATAAGCCGTAGGTTGTATTGTTTTCATTTTTCCAACAAACTCGCCCATCCTCCCTCACACAAAAGTCTCCCATAAGAAAAAAGAAAGGAGGAAACTGCAGTGGCCTGTTTGGCCCCTTACTCCCGGAGTTTACCTGGGGGTCCCCCGGGGGTAACGCCCCCGGGCCCGGTCTGGCCAGGGCCCCTGGTGGATCAGGCCTGATCAACCCGGTGTTACGTGGGTGACCAAAACCCGTAGAGCCAGCCCCGGGGCAGGAACCGACTTTAGGGGCTTGTCCAGTGCCACTTGAAGACTGCCCGGGGTCTGTTGGTAATCCCCCTTATGTATGCTGGGAGGCAGTTGAAAAGTCTCGGGCCACCTGACACTTATTGTATGGTCTCTTAACGTGCTAGTGACACCCTGCTTTTCATTGGGGATGTTGCATCGTCTGCCAAGTCTTTTGCTTTCGTAGTGAGTGATTTTCGTGTGCAAGTTCGTACTAGTCCCTCTAGGATTTTCCAGGTGTATATAATCATGTATCTCTCCCGCCTGCATTCCAGGGAATACAGGTTCAGGAACCTCAAGCGCTCCCAGTAATTGAGGTGTTTTATCTCCGTTATGCGCGCCGTGAAGGTTCTCTGTACATTTTCTAGGTCAGCAATTTCACCTGCCTTGAAAGGTGCTGTTAGTGTGCAGCAATATTCCAGCCTAGATAGAACAAGTGACCTGAAGAGTGTCATCATGGGCTTGGCCTCCCTAGTTTTGAAGGTTCTCATTAAATAACAAAAGGCACAATACCGTGACTGGAACAATACACAAATAACCCGCACATAAAAGAGAGAAGCTTACGACGACGTTTCGGTCCGACTTGGACCATTGACAAAGTCACACTGACTTTGTCAATGGTCCAAGTCGGACCGAACGTCGCCGTAAGCTTCTCTCTTTTATGTGCGGGTTATTTGTGTAAGGTTCTCATTATCCATCCTGCCATTTTTCTAGCAAATGCGATTGATACAATGTTATGGTCCTTGAAGGTGAGATCCTCCGACATGATCACTCCCAGGTCTTTGACGTTGGTGTTTCGCTCTATTTTGTGGCCAGAATTTGTTTTGTACTCTGATGAAAATTTAATTTCCTCGTGTTTACCATATCTGAGTAATTGAAATTTCTCATCGTTGAACTTCATATTGTTTTCTGCAGCCCACTGAAAGATTTGGTTGATGTCCGCCTGGAGCCTTGCAGTGCCTGCAATGGAAGACACTCATGCAGATTCGGGTGTCATATGCAAAGGAAGACACGGTGCTGTGGCTGACATCATTGTCTATGTCAGATATGAGGATGAGGAACAAGATGGGAGCGAGTACTGTGCCTTGTGGAACAGAACTTTTCACTGTAGCTGCCTCAGACTTTAACTCTGTTGACTACTACTCTGTGTTCTGTTAGTGAGGAAATTATAGATCCATCGACCGACTTTTCCTGTTATTCCTTTAGCACGCATTTTGTGCGCTATTACGCCATGGTCACACTTCTCGAAGGCTTTTGCAAAGTCTGTATATATTACATCTGCATTCTTTTTGTCTTCTAGTGCATCTAGGACCTTGTCGTAGTGATCCAATAGTTGAGACAGACAGGAGCGACCTGTTCTAAACCCATGTTGCCCTGGGTTGTGTAACTGATGGGTTTCTAGATGGGTGGTGATCTTGCTTCTTAGGCAGGTCCTTTACAATCCTTCCCACAAAGAACATAACAATGGAAGAACACTGCAGGTCTACTGGCCCATACAAGGCAGGTCCTTATCAAAATGACCTCTACCCAAAGCTACCCAAGAATTTACTCCCGTACCCATTGACACAAATCAAACTCGGCTCCTCCCACTCATATATTTGTCCAATCTCTTCTTAAAGCTACCCAAGGTCCTAGCCTCGATCACCCTACTGGTAAGTGTGATGTTAAATAAGAACATAAGAACTTAAGAAAGTAGGAACACTGCAACAGGCCTGCTGGCCCATACTAGGCAGGTCTTTCATAAATCCAACCCACTAACAGAACAAATGCTACCCAAGCAATAAGCTCAGGTGCAAGTCCGACTCAAATCCAACCCCTCTCACTCGTGTATTTATCCAACCTAAATTTGAAGCTACCTAAGCCATAGCTTTTAGAACATAAGAAAGGAGGAACACTGTAATAAGCCTGTTGGCCCATACTTGGCAGGTCCTTCACAAATCCAACCCACTAACAGAACAAATGCTATCCAAGAAAGAAGCTCAGGTGCAAGTCCGACTCAAATCCAACCCCTCTCACTCATGTATTTATCCAACCTAAATTTGAAACTACCCAATGTTTTAGCTTCGATCACCCTACTAGGCAGACCGTTCCACTCTTGGGCTCAATACGGCGTATGCTGTCAGTGGCTCTGAAACCCCAACAGAAGACCATTTCACTCATCAACTACCCCTATTACCAATGTTCATTTATACATTTTATTAGTGCTTTACATTTATTTGGCATTTTTTCTGCATTTTTTTTTTTCAACAAGTCGGTCGTCTCCCACCGAGGCAGGGTGACCCAAAAAAGAAAGAAAATCCCCAAAAAGAAAATACTTTCATCATCATTCAACACTTTCACCACACTCTCACATTATCACTGCTTTTGCAGAGGTGCTCAGAATACAACAGTCTAGAAGCATACACACATAAAGATACACAACATATCCCTCCAAACTGCCAATATCCCAAACCCCTCCTTTAAAGTGCAGGCACTGTACTTCCCATTTCCAGGACTCAAGTCTGACTATATGAAAATAACCAGTTTCTCTGAATCCCTTCACTAAATATTACCCTGCTCACACTCCAACAGATCGTCAGGTCCCAAGTATCATTCATCTCCATTCACTCCTATCTAACACGCTCATGCAGGCTTGCTGGAAGTCCAAGCCCCTCGCCCACAAAACCTCCTTTACCCCCTCTTTCCAACCCCTTTCGAGGACGACCCCTACCCCTCTTTCCTTCCCCTATAGATTTATATGCTTTCCATGTCATTCTATATTTATGCTAGGGAAGTGTCCCCTGAAGTGACCTAGAGTCCTTGTAGATGAATGGTTCAGAGAACGGACATGTTAAATTAGACATGTGCAACTCTTGGGTATCTTTGAGGAAACGTTTCGCCACACAGTGGCTTCATCAGACCGATGAAGGCACTGTGTGGCAAAACGTTTCCTCAATAGATACCCAAGAGTTGCACGTGTCTAATTTAACGACCTAGAGTCCTTATGGAGGGGGATTCCCCCTTCCAAACAATAACCTCTCTTCCCTCTCTCCTCCTCCCTGTCTTCCATTTATTAAAAACAGCCTTCAATAAAGGTAACTGTCGTGTTGAATGTTCATTCTCTTGTGCATGTAAATCTATCTTTTAGGCAAAAAAAAATTTGTTGTTGATACTTCTGGGTGTCTGGAATGAATTAATTGGATTTACATCATTTCTTATGGGGAAAATTGATTCGAAAATCGTCTATTTCGATAATAGTCCCACTTCCAGGAACGGATTAAGGACAATAATTGAGGGACCACTGTATGTGCAATACTGACATTACATTGAATATTCCATCATTTTTCACTTACATTTCTGATAGTAGGCCACTAGAGACTTTGAAATAGCTTGACGGATGGCATAAACCTGAGATGTGTGGCCACCACCCTTCACACGTACACGAATTGACACATTGGCAAACCTCTCCTGAAATGATGACAAGACATGTAACAATGTAGCATTCATTTTCACTGCATTCCCAAAATATGACAGCTTCAAATTTAAATTAAACCATAAGCTTTACTACAGTAAAGGCAATCAAACAGAATTGTAAGAGGTTCTAAGCAAATATATTTACTAATACCAAATAAGTAACATTTTTAACAAGGTTTCCCACAAATATGAGAATCTCCTTTTACAATGAAAGAAAACTAACCAGTTCCAGGCATCTGATACCGTTTCCACAAAGCCTGTGTGAAGGTTGAGCAACAGTTGGGACTACTCACAAAAAAATTATTTTCTACACTGAATATCAATGTGGACTTCTAATTACAAGGAAGCTCATTTGACCCCAAGTACTTCAGATATATACTAATGCATTCACTCTGCTGCATGAGAACTAACACTAAATAATACTCGTGTATAGGAATAAGTTTTATAGATTTTGGAATTAGAAAATTAGTTATGAAAAATATTTTTATTTATTTATTCATGGTCTGCTTAAAAGATTTTTCCACTGAAAATAATCATGACAGTTATAAAACCTTATTCTGAAGGAGGGCCACAAGTGACTGATCAAGCCATAATGCCACTTCCTAAATACTGCAGAAAAATAATAAAAAGCCAACACATTACAGAATAGTCTATTTGACTATTTTAAGACAACCATCAACTATGTTGTTTCTGCATCAACACAGGAACTATAGCCACCCATCCAAGACCAATACACCATCAACCCTCCCTCTACTAACTCGAGTACTACAAGCAAAATGACCAAATATATAATTAGTTATTTTTACCTAATACAGCAATGTTAAATAAAGGTCAGCCATAGTTAAAAAAAAATGTTTGTAGATGAATGGTTCAGAGAACCGACATGTTGATAAATTAGACACGTCTGCAACTCTTGGGTATCTTTATCGAGGAAACGTTTTGTCACACAGTGGCTTCATCAGTCCATACAAAGGAGAATCTTGAAGAACACGAGTAGAATGAGGTAATCAGTCCCTCAACCTTGAGTCGATGTGGTCAGTCCATCAATCTTGAATAGAATACGGCATACGTGTGGAGAAGGAGCTTATAAACCGTTGGTAGGAGAGGTGCAGCAGTCATAGGCGGTGTCACATTTATTCAATGTGGAAGTAAGTCGTGCCCAAGAATTAGGCAAGCGAAGAATTCTCAAGTATTAAGATCCCAAGAAGTTGCAGTGTCTGACAGGTTTGTAGATGAATGGTTCAGAGAACCGACATGTTGATAAATTAGACACATCTGCAACTCTTGGGTATCTTTATTGAGGAAACGTTTTGCCACACAGTGGCTTCATCAGTCCATACAAAGGAGAATCTTGAAGAATTCAAGGTTGAGGGACTGATTACCTCATTCTACTCATGTTCTTAAAGATTCTCCTTTGTATGGACTGATGAAGCCACTGTGTGGCAAAACGTTTCCTCGATAAAGATACCCAAGAGTTGCAGATGTGTCTAATTTATCAAAAAAAAATGTAAATCAAATAGGCCTGTGCTGTTTACTACAATATTGCTTATGAGCTACACTATACTGGCAAGGGCTGCATTTATTCATTTTAATCAGAGGGACGTACTAAGCCCTTGGGAGTAATAATGCCTGGGAAATGGGATGCATTACACTTCAAATAAGAGGATAAGTCTACTGCCACTCCCTCCTTCCCCCTTGAGATGGGGGCACGAACTGCAAAGAAAATGCAGAGCAAGTCTATTGTAAACGTTTAATTCTTGACTAGCTTTACCAAACTTTCCCAGACACAAAGTTAGCAGAAACTGACCTACCAGCAGGAAATGCGACCAATTTACTAGCCAAAATGAATGCATTAACTATTGACTAATACAAGTTATTAACATGCTATTCTACTTTGTTCACTTGCAAATGATATGCTGGTTCATGCCTGAGATGCAACTGCTGTCAAGAGGTTACCAAAAATTCTGGTTAACTTGCCTTTCCAAGGAGAAGGACAGGCTCCATCAGCTTGAACTGTAGAGTCCTGGGTTCAATGTGCTCCAGGGGCCGGCCATTGACCTTGATCAAGCCATGTCCACGCTTGCAGTGAGCAACCGCTGTAGCAGTTTTCTGTTGAATAATCAACATTTAGCATTATTAAACCCATTCCCACAAAAAAAGTCCTGTATGGAAAAATCTGATATTTTAAACTACTCATAAATATAAACTATTTCTTATACACTACCTACCAAACTGAAACATCACAAAAAAAATATAAGCACCACTGCACAGTGGTGTGCTATTTCACTGCCCAACTGTAAACCTAAATTCTGCTATTTGTTGCAATCTGACTGCTACTGCTTCAGTACCTTCATTACCATTTCTTAAGCATTGCCACATGGATACTACAGTGGACCCCCGGTTAACGATATTTTTTCAGTCCAGAAGTATGTTCAGGTGCCAGTACTGACCGAATTTGTTCCCATAAGAAATATTGTGAAGTAGATTAGTCCATTTCAGACCCTCAAACATACACGTACAAATGCACTTACATAAATGGTCGCATTGGGAGGTGATCGTTAAGCGGGGGTCTACTGTATACTATATTTTCTTCACACTAAGTGCTTCCACCTTTCCTCAACTGCACCCACTAATGTGTTAAAAATTAAATATAAAAAAAAAAAAACTGGTTAGGCAGAGCATTTCAAGCAAGTACGTAATGCTATTCAGGTACAGATACACAGAAGTACGTACAATTATCATACTTGATATCTTTAATTCTACAAGTATAAGGTATACAGGCCTAACTGACATCAATGACATGCATGCTCTATGACCCTTGTCGGTTTAGCACTTTATTATCTGATTACAATAACAATGACATACTACATAAAAAGTTGCTTGTTATACTGAGCATTTCCCGCAAATTAGTAAGTTTTGTCCCAGGATGCGACCCATACCAGTCCACTAACACCCAGGTACCCATTTTACTGATGGGTGAACATAGACAACTGCTATAGGAAACATGCTCAATGTTTTTACCCTTCGCTGGAATCGAACCCGGATCTTCACCGTGTGAAGCCAGTTTTTACCACCAGGCAAATTACAAAGAATAAAAAAAAAAAAAAAAAAAAAAAAAAAAAAAAAAAAAAAAAAAAAAAAAAGGGACGCCAATGAAAATAAGTCATTGACTTTTCTGAGGTTTTCCTGGGTAATTTATAAATATGTTGCTACTTATGATAATTTATATAACTATTTATGAGTACCTGTAAATCATTTCCACAGGGGTCCTGGCAAGTCCTAGTCGATCACGAGGCTTAACCCACATGAAGACTACCTCCAATCCCCAGGATCAACACCCCATTTACTCTCACCAAGACACCCACTACAAAGAAAATTAAAAAAAAATAACGTAGGTGGGAGCCAGACTGGCTGGTCTTCCTGGCAGACGTCAACACAACGTGGCTCCACTACTCACCTTCCTACCGTACACCTGCACCGCTGGTACCGTCTCTTTGGTCGTCATCTGCAAAAACACCAGTCACTAATTAACCCTCTGGCTACTTTAACAACCTCCAGTTTCTATAATACAGCAGTAATTGGACAATAATAAAGGGAGCGCCGAGGTTGGTACTCACCTCGGGCAGCGGGGGAGAGGGAGGAGCTACAGCAACTCGCAACCACATCCACCTCTAATCACGTTTTTTATGTATTTTTTGGAAATATATTCGGAAATCTGTAGTGTCTGATTTTAGAATAACTATTAATGCAGTGGGGGACGTAAATGTTCTGTGGATTATGAGGTGAATTAGCAAATTATAGCAGGTTATATGAATCCACATTCAAGCGGGAAATTTCTTTACTTTCAAAAATGTTAAATAATAATAATAATAATAATAATAATGATAATACTCGTCCAGCAAGTGACTTGTACTGCAGGCAGATTGAAAATAGGCCTGAAGTAAGTTTATTTAGGTACAGGTACACATAAGTACAACTGGGGTCCCGTGGCCTGGTGGCTGAAGCTCTCGCTTCACACAGTGAAAGTCCAGGTTCGATTCCCGGCGAGGGTAGAAACATTGGGCGTGTTTTCATGTTTCCCTGGTAGTAGTGATGGTGATAGAAGATAGTGATGGTGGTAACCGTAGTCAATAGTGGTAGAAGGTCGTAGTGAAGGATGGTAGAGGGTTTCCTTCTTTAGTGATTCAGCGATTCTATAACTCCTCAATGTTGTTGGGAGTTATATAGGGCTACCAGAACACCACCGCATCAGCTGCTGCTTCACACCATTATGGAGGCTTACCCCCCCTCAGTGGCCCTTATATACCCACAACACACACCTCTCGTGACTACGTTAATGACTTATTTAAATTCATTCTAGAGTATATTCATGGTTTCTAAGTTATTAATACTGTTTATGTCACATTCGTTGCATTGTGATAGATAAATAAGCCGTAGAGTTGATATTAGTGTCATTCTCCAACAAACTCGCCATCTCTCCCTCACACAAACAAGTCTCCGATAAGAACATAAGAAAGGAGGAACACTGCAGTAGGCCTGTTGGCCCATTACTACCTGGAGTTTACCTGGAGTCCACGGGGGTCAACGCCCCCGTGGCCCGGTCTGGGACCAGGCCTCCTGGTGGATCAGAGCCTGATCAACAGGCTGTTACGTGGCTGACGCAAAACCTCAGTAGAGCCAAGCCGGTGGCAGGAACCGACTTCTAGGTGCTTGTCCAGTGCCAGCTTGAAGACTGCCAGGGGTCTGTTGGTAATCCCCCTTATGTATGCTGGGAGGCAGTTGAAAAGTCTCGGGCCCCTGACACTTATTGTATGGTCTCTTAACGTGGCTAGTGACACCCTGCTTTTCACTTGGGGGATGTTGCATCGTCTGCAAGTCTTTTGCTTTCGTAGTGAGTGATTTTCGTGTGCAAGTTTGTACTAGTCCTCTAGGATTTTCGGTGTATAATAATCATGTATCTCTCCCGCCTGCCATTCCAGGGAATACAGGTTCCGGCACCTCATGCGCTCCCAGTAATTGAGGTGTTTTATCGCCGTTATGCGCGCGTGAAGGTTCTCTGTACATTTTCTAGCGTCAGCAATTTCACCTGCCTTGAAGGTGTGTTAGTGTGGCAGCAATTTCACCAGCCTAGGGATAGACAAGTGACCTGAAAGAGTTGTCATCATGGGCTTGGCCTCCCTAGTTTTGAAGGTTCTCATTAAATAAACCAAAGGCACAATACCGTGACTGGAACAATACACAAATAACCCGCACATAAAAGGAGAGAAGCTTACCGACGACGTTTCGGTTCCGACTTGGACCATTGACAAAGTACACTGACTTTGTCAATGGTCCAAGTCGGACCGAACCGTCGCCGTAAGCTTCTCTCTTTTATGTGCGGTTATTTGTGTAAGGTTCTCATTATCCATCCTGCCATTTTTCTAGCACAAATGCGAGTTGGATACAATGTATGGTCCTTGAAGGTGAGATCCTCCGACATGATCATCCCAGCGTCTTTGACGTTGGTGTTCTCGCATCTATTTGGTGGCCAGGAATTTGTTTGTACTCTGATGAAAAATTTAATTTCTCGTGTTTAACCATATCTGAGTATTTGAAATTTCTCATCGTTGAACTTCATATTGTTTTCTGCAGCCCACTGAAGATTTGGTTGATCGTCCGCCTGGGCCTTGCAGTGCCTGCAATGGAAGTACACTCATGCAGATTCGGGTGTCATCTTGTGCAAAGGAAGACACGGTGTGTGGCGACTCATTTGTCTATGTCAGTTATGAGGGACTGAGGAAAACAAGATGGGGGAAGTACTGTGCCTGTGTGGTACAGAACTTTTCACTGTAGCTGCCTCAGACTTTAACTCTGTTGACTACTTACTCTGTGTTCTGTTAGTGAGGAAATTATAGATCCATCGACCGACTTTTCCTGTTATTCCTTTAGCACGCATTTTGTGCGCTATTACGCCATGGTCACACTTCTCGAAGGCTTTTGCAAAAGTCTTGTATATATTACTTCTGCATTCTTTTTTCTTCTAGTGGCATCTAGGACCTTGTCGTCGTGATCACTAGTTGAGACAGACAGGAGGGAACCTGCTCTTAAACCCTTGTTGGCCCTGGGTGTGTAACTGATGGGTTTCTAGATGGGTGGTGTGATCTTGTTCTTAGGCAGGTCCTTTTACAATCTTTCCCACAAAGAACATCAACAATGGATGAAAATCAACTGCAGGTTCTATGGCCCATTACAACGGCAGGTCCTTTCAAAATGACCTCGACCAAAGCTACCCAGGAATTTTACTCCCGTAACCCATTGACACAAATCAAACTCGGCTCTTCCCACTCATATATTTGTCCAATCTCTTCTTAAAGCTACCAAGGTCCTAGCCTCGATCACCTACTGAGAAGTGTGTGTGATGTTAAATAAGAAACATAAGAACTTAAGAAAGTAGGAACACTGAACAGGCCTGCTGGCCCATTACTAGGCAGGTCTTTCATAAATTCAACCACTAAACAGAAAAATGCTGACCAAGGCAAAATAAGCTTCAGGTGCAAGTCCGACTCAAAATCAACCCCTTCCACTGTGTATTTATCCCAACCTAAAATTTGAAGCTACCTAAGCATAGCTTTTAGAACATTAAGTAAAGGTGGAACACTGTAAAAGCCTGTTGGCCCATTACTAGGCAGGTCCTTCACCAAATCCAACCACTAACAGAACAAGGCTATCCAAGGAATAGAAGCTTCAGGTGCAAGTCCGACTCAAAATCCAACCCCTCTCACTCATGTATTTATCCAACCTAAATTTGAAACTACCCAATTGTTTTAGCTTCAATCCCCTACTAGGCAGACCGTTCCACTCTGGGGACTCAATAGGCGTCTGCGGTCAGTGGCTCTTGAAACCCCAACAGAAGACCATTTCAGCTCATCAAACTACCCTGATTACCAATGTGATTTATACATTTTATTACGTGTCTTTACATTTCATTTTTGGCATTTTTTCTGCATTTTATTTTTTCAACAAGTCGGTGTCTCCCACCGCGGCAGGGTGACCCAAAAAAGACAGAAAATCCCCAAAATAGAAAATACTTTCATCATCATTCAGACATTTCACCAACTCTCACATTATCACTGCTTTTGCAGAGGTGCTCTGAAACAACAGTCTAGAAGCATTACACACATAAAGATTGCACACATATCCCTCCAAACTGCCAATATCCCAAACCCTCCTTTAAAGTGCAGGCCGCTGTACTTGCCCATTTCCAGGACTCAAGTCTGACTATCATGTAATAATAACCAGTTTCTCTGAATCCCTTCACTACAATATTACCATGCTCACACTCCAAACAGATCGTCAGGTCCCACTGTATCATTCATCTCCATTCACCTCCTATCTAAACGCTCCATGCAGGCTTGCTGGAAGTCCAAGCCCCTCGCCCACAAACCTACTTTACCCCCTTTTCCAAACCCTTTCGAGGACGACCCTACCCCTCTTTCTTCCCTATAGCTTATATGGCTTTCCATGTCATTCTATATTTATGCTAGGAAGTGTCCCCTGAAGTGCCTAGGAGTCCTTGTAGATGAATGGTTCAGAAGACCGGACATGTTAAATTAGATACATGTGAACTTTGGGTGATCTTTGAGGAAAACGTTTCGCCACAGTGGCTTCATCAGACGAATGAAGGCACTGTGTGGCAAAACAGTTTCCTCATAGATTACCCAAGAGTTGCACGTGTTCTAATTTAACGTCCTAGAGCTCCATTATGGGAGGGGGATTTCCTCCCTACCCAACAATACACCTCTCTTCCCTCATCTCCTCCTCCCTGTCTTCCATTTATTAAAAACAGCCTTCAATAAAGGTAATACTGTCGTGTTGAATGTTCACATTCTCTTGTGCATGTAATCTATCTTTTAGGCAACAAAAAAATTTGTTGTTTGTTGGATACTTCTGGGTGTCTGGAAAGAATTTAATTGGATTGACATCATATCTTTATGGGGAAAATTAGATTCGAAAATCGTCTATTCGATACATAGTCCCACCTTCCAGGACACAGGATTATAACGGGACCAGCAATTGAGGGACCACTTATGTGCCAATCCTGACCATTACATTGAATATTCCCATCATTTTTCCACTTACATTTTGATAGTAGGCCACTAGTAAGGAAGACTTTGAAATTAGCTTGCCGGATGGTATAAACCTAGATGTGTGGCCACCACCCTTCACACGTACTCAACGAATAGACACATTGGCAAACCTCTCCTGGAAATGATGCACACGACAGTGTAACAATGTAGCATTCATTTTCACTGCATTTCCAAAAATATGACCGCTTCAAAATAAATTAAACCATAAGCTTTACTACAGTAATGGCAATCAACCAGAATTGTAAAGGAGGTTCTAAGCAAATATATTTACTATACCAAATAAGTAACAGTTTTAACAGGTTTCCCACAAATATGAGAATTCCTTTTACAAGAACAGTCATACTAACCAGTCTCCAGGCTATCTGATCCCGTTTCCACAAAGCCTGTGTGAAGGTTGAGCACAGTTGGGACTACTCACAAAAAAATTATTTTCTACACTGTATACAATTGGACTTCTTTTTATTACAAGGAGCTCAATTGACCCCAAGTATTCAGATATATACTAATGCATTCACTTGCTGCTGAGAACTAACCACTAAATAATACTCGTGTATAGGAATAAGTTTTATAGATTTGTGGAATTAGAAAATTAG